CATCTCTGCTCTTTTAATCCTGCACAGCATAAGACATGGACTGCCTAACTGGCTTATGGACTCTCTTTGCCCAACACAGCTAATTTAAAAGTAAATTCGTAAAAGTAAAAAATTTTTAGCATGCATTGAACACAGAAGTCATTTTACCTAAAGTTTTTATTATTGTAAAAATTCCAGGCACACAACTTCCTGATCAGCAGGCTGACTTTTTCCGGAACTCTGTAGGTATTTCCTTAAACCTTTAAGAGATTAAGAATTCCTCAGACACATGTTACATGTGTATGAACACATTTTCACACAAGACAAACCTTTTCCCACCTCAAGTTAAAATTTTAAAAACCAACAGAACATACTTTCCTTCACCCTTCAAAGCAAAGCGTCACTTACGTCTACGAAGGGTTTGTCAGGAAATGGGATCCTCATAATGTAAACATTAATCCATGACTCGTCCCACATATTTCCTATTTTTCAATATGGAAACATGCTTAAGAGTTATTTCTGACTTGCTGTGACAGACTATTAGACACTGAAATAAATGCTGTGATCAAGAACTGTTTGAGCAGCAATTTAAACCGAGATTCCAACACCACAGATTTTGTTTGATTTAAGGTTAAAAATACTGTCAAGTAAAAACTGTTATGCCACAAAATGGGCTAAACCAGCTCAGTTTTCTGAAGACATTTTGACATAGACCCAGGAGTCTTTGGCCCAATCCCATACTGGCCCCTAAGCACTAATCACATCTGCGCATTCCTGCACAGGGTACACCACGTTAAAGGTCTTGTGGAGGATCTTTGTCAATTTTTTTACTTAAAAAAATGCACATGCACAACCCTGTACACGCTGCAACAGCCTGAACAAGTCCATTTCTCCTCATGCACACTGTTTAAAAGTTGCTGTTCTCATAACTCATACAAGCTTCTTTTCATCTCATACACTTCGTAGACACTTTTCCCTTACGATCCTTGGCATTTTCAAAGTACCTCGGTGAGAAAGGTGAGCTTCAATGACTGTGTAAAACCGTAGCTCACCACAGATATACGCCTGAAGGTGCGCATTCACACAAAAAGATAGCTAACGGGACGAGCACGTAGGGCGGCCTTACGTAAGCATATCAACAGAATGATTGACAATTAGGAGGTCCACTTAATTAGATGATCCAGCTGGAAATAAAAGATAGTCCTCTATACCTTTAAGTGCCATACCAAATCCCATAGTGGGTAGTTAGAGTGGACCGTCCAGCCCTTAAATAGCAAGTCTCACTGCAGTTTGGCAGCAGGTGTAACAGTGGCTTAAAGGTTGGAGGAAATGCATGCATTAAAATCTAAGTTCCACCAGTTTGCTGAATCTTCATCACAGTGACGAAAAATCACCAGTTAGGTATAAGAAAAACTTCATTCCAAAATAGAAGGTCCCCTTCCAAATGGTTTTATTTGACCGTATACTTTTGTTTTAAGAAAGGGGCTAATGTTATATTTTATGTCACCTTGCGCAACAGAGCTACAGCCATGCACATGGGGCATCACTGTGTTGCCTTAGCAACGATTGCTTTCTTTTTCAGTTGGAGGGAAGAGGCTGTCCCATTCTCACTTATACCCCCCCACCTTTAATAGAGGCGCCATCCACAGCTGCCAATGAGACCTGATAGTTGAGCGTTAGTGGTTAGGGAGCATTTTGGGATTTAACCAGTCAGTGCCATCGGCTTGCACTAGAGCAATCTGAAGTTTTATGGTGACGTCTTTTACGTTGTTTTTTTCTTCTTTAAATTTAAAAAAAAACTGAGGTAAAGTCTGGTTTTCTCTGATTCAAGCACTTTTTTGTTGACACGGCCCAGATGACAAAATGTACACATGCAAAATCTGTTCTACATGCATCTGTTGTAGTAGTGCCATGCATTCTACCCAACAGGTGTGCAGGGATAGGTCCTTTTTGTTGATATATTTGGATCCATAGAAGTTGTAGAGCTTGTGTTGCACAAAGGCATCCAGGTTAAAGTGGTTAAAAAATCTTTTACAGCTCTTAAATCTCCCCGAAAGGGTTTCAGTCCCAAACCAAGAGCACCAATAAGCTTCGGGGTCCTCAAAGCCTTAAAATAGGTTTAAAAGAAATTTTGTTCCACTCAGGGGCGTCTCTAGGTTTAAGAGACAAGGGTGGCTCAGCCCCTAGAAGATATTGAAATTTTTTCAGTGCACCTGCTAAGGCGTTGTCTAAGTCCAGATTAACTTGTCTTCTTTATGGCTTTTATTTGGTGCTTTACTGCATTTGTTTTGGGAAAATATGAGGAAAAAATAAATACAGAAAAAAAATAATATTTTTTTTTGAATCGCAAAATAATTATAGGGAGGCTAATGCCAAAGAAAGGATGACTGAAGCCACCCTTAAATAGGTCTAACGACGACTTCATAATTGCGTGCTCCTTATTGATGATTCTTCACAAAAATTTACAAACTTAGATCTTTATGTTTGAAGCCTGAAATCTAACTACCATTATATTCATCAGACAGCCTGGGGGAAGACATGTTAAATATGTTAAAAAGGTTTATAAAGACCATGATATTTAGTCTATATTTGTCTAAACAAAATATTCTTGACTAAAGTTGTTCAGAAGTGCATTTATATTCATTTGATTTCTCATATAGATCCCAGTGAGCTGGTTCTACAAGGATTCATACAAAAACATGTTGAATCACATTATAAACTCTGAAAATATTAAACCATAAACCACAACCTCAACACCATCACCATGTCCCGTCAAAATGGAAACTAAGATTCACACATTTTAAGGTTTGCTGCTTCACAATCATACTTTATAACATTAGAACAACTGGTATTATTACAACATAAACAATAGCAGCTAGCTAAGATGACAACCAGAAAAGAAAAAAAAAAGATTGTGGTTTCATCTTATGGAGGATGTTATTGTGGACCAGTCTGACACCCTGCATTTAAGTAAAACTTGTATTAAAGACAGAGATGGGAAGTAACGAAGTACAAATACTTCGTTACTGTACTCAAGTAGATTTTTCTGATATTTTACTTTACTACTTATTTTTATGGCGACTTTTTACTTCTACTCCTTACATTTTTACACAAATATCTGTACTTTCTACTCCTTACATTTAAAAAAATTGGCTCGTTACTTTAGTTTTGAATCATTTCAATGGAGTTACCGTTATTATTTTTCACGTCATCAATACCAAATTCAATCTAATTGGATGGGAATCTACGTTGCATTTGACGCACCACTACAAGATGAATCGACAGATTCGGCGGTATTCATTGGTGGCAAATCATTGCAGCTTGGTGGCGGTGGCGTTAGCATAGTAGCATGGACGACGAGATGATTGAAAATGAACACAACGGAGATCTAGTCCTATTGGCAGACATCCATTTAAAATGTAGGCAACGGCATGAAAAAAGTGGTTTCTACTTTTACTTTTATACTTTAAGTAAATTTACAAGCCTGTACTTTGTTACTTTTACTTGAGTAAAGAAGTTTAATCAGTACTTCCACTTTTACCAGAGTATTTTTTAACACAAGTATCTGTACTTTTACTCAAGTACGGAAAATGAGTACTTTTGCCATCTCTGATTAAAGATGAAATTAGGAATGTAATCACAATCACCTCATTTACACTTTGATCATTTACACCATCTTTATTGAATAGATGTAATCTGAGGGGTTAGGGGGGAAAGGAGGAATTAAAAACATCTAAACCAATCAGCTAGGAAAAGAACTTCACTGTGGTCAGAAGTAGCAGTTTCCTGTCATAAGTGTCTCACTGAAACATGGCTCCCAAAGGACAGCCCCATAGCACATAGTTAAATGGTCAAACAGTGGCGCTGACTTGTTTTTGACCCAGTTGATGGATGGATTGGTGGCTCCTCTTTGGATCTGAAGCAGGCAGTGATGATTCTGGAAAACTTTGCTGCAAGAGGGTGGAAATGCTGGATCTTTTAATCTAAATACAAATATTCTCTTATATGTAAATGGATTAAAAAAATGTTTCAATTCTCATTCACTCTCCCTATCATCCTCTGTGACTGAAATCATCTCATCTTCTGCACCCTTGCCAACAATTTTCTTAAAATTGATTTCTTCCTGTTCTTTCAGTGGCTGCTTTCACCTGTGACCTTCATGGTCTCCCCGTCATTCCTTTTCATCCCTCAGTAAAACGTCTTTTTAAATTTCCTTCTTATTGTAATCTGCAATATCTAGGCTTATAGATTTGGAGAAAAAAAGCCAATTCATGACAGGAAGTTACCTAGAAATTACTCATAACACTCTCTCCGTTCACAGTAGCAGTTATATTCAGAAATCTCTCCTCATAGCATCCAGTTCATCATTTCCTGACCTGACAGAATGGATGCAATGTGAACTGTATTTTAATAGTGTGGCCCCTTAAGGAAAAACCCAAATCCTTAAACTTCACAATCACCGTTTTCTCTTTGATGTAGACAGAACTGAAATATGTTAAGGCTCTTATGAATCATGTTTCAATTAGGTAAATTCATCTTTTATATCAGAGCTGTAAAAAGGCTCTTCAACCAAAACGCAATTAGTCAAGTATTTTAAGGACATTAAAGTAGGGGGGTATATCAGTTTCTGCCAATATAGGATTATCTTAGTGTGTTGGTCACTCTGGATGCAAATATCTTACTTTTTTTGTACCATAAAATTACCTTTGTTTTAGCCATTACTCATTGAAGAGTTGCACATATTAAAAGGGATCTAGAGGAGCTTAGATTATTACTGACCAGATAAAAAAAAAGCCCAGAACTAACTGCAGCTGCAGAGGTTTAATTTACCTTGGTTAAAGGTTAGTTGGGGAAATTGCGCACAAGTACTTTGATGTGAAATGTGAATTTAAATACATGCAATTAGTGCTTATAGGTTTTGTGTGGATATGAAGTCAATGGAAAGCTCACTGAATATAACCAGTCTTTGGTTATTTCATATATGGAAACGCTTAAGAATACATTTGTTACTCGAGACATAATACTGAGCAAAGTCATCCGGTTTCTGTTATTTAAGGAACCCTGGATATATGGTAGGTTTATCATCTACATTTCAACTGAACTAGACGATGTGTTTGTTAAACAAAAAGGCTTCCGTACAATCAATCAGTATAATACAAAAGGTAAATAAATGCAAAACATCAATCGACATTTGTCATTCAATACAGCTTGTAAACAAATTCCAAGACAGAAATTACAATTTCTGACAATAAATGTATTTAAGGCTTTTACCTTATACAATGTATAAATTCAGACATGCTAAATTAAAAAGGTATAACAGCAGTTTGATCGTCCTCCTAAAGTTGAAAAACAAAGAAATACCCCCCAACCTCCCCCCAAAAGTCTCATCATACCCACTACTGACTTATGTCCAGAGAACATGGCCGAAACCAACACAAATCCTTCTACAGACAAAGCATAAGGATCCTGATACAGGCTTTTTACGTATAAAAATAACTGATATTACAGTTCAAACATAACTTCACAGTATATTTGATGATGCTAGAAGACGAACAGTATTTTTCATTAAAAAAAATAACTAAACACAAATGGTCCACAACTGTGACAAAAAACGCATTTTCTTTCTGAATGCCATAGAAGACAGGAGACAGAAATGAAAATGAGAAAGAAATCAAATGGTTTAAATGGGATTCTTAGGCATCAGAGGATAACTGAGAAAGTTTGGGGAAAATAAAGAAACAAAAACCAAACAAAAGCAAAAAAATGTCCTCAAGTCTGTCCAGGGTTAACATGGAGGTATGAGTGAAACCCATGTTCGCACCGCTGCCCTCATAAATATCTCCTGTTAGTTCAACAACACAGAACAGCTTCAAACTGAAAACACTGCAGCTCTGCAGATATGGTGACATCTTAAACTTCTTAACATAATGACAAGCAGTCTTCTGTTTTTTCTCTTTAGACGACACATTCTCCCTTTGTCTCATTATTACTTGAAGCATGTGGATAAGTGATAAATGTGTTTGAGTCCTGAGTTTCACTGAGCAGCAATTGGGATGTTTAAGCTCCAGGCTTGGTTGGTACTCAAATAACTATATATTATATTTGATTTATGAATGTTTAACAGGTGGTTTAGTTTTCAACAGTATGATAATAAACAGAAATAAAATGAACACTGTTAAAATGTTGGATTTTTACACATTTAAAACACTAGTCTTGTAAAAAAAAGAAAAAGGTTTTATTCCCAGTGAAGAAGCACCACTTCAAAGAGTTGTGTGATATCATTCCATTGCTGTTGTCAAAATTGTAGATGGATTCTGTAATGAAATTAACAAGAGGTCATCTTAGATGCATGTCTGAGTATAAATTGTAACTCAAAGGAGTTTTTTACTCACAATTTTCCTACTTGAGGCCACTTGAAAATCCATTGAAGTCACCATTGGTTCGACCATTTCCTGAGAAACAAGGAGACTCTTTAAGTTAAATCATCCACTTTTAATTCAAGTAAATAATGTCTGTAAAAATCAGGTGTACCTGTGTATCCGTTAAGATGTTGGTGCACTGAATGGTTTGAGGAGGGATTATGGTGAGATGGTGATGGGTGGTCCCTGCCTCCCACTGCTAAGTCGCTGCGGTGACGTTTTTCCGGTAAAAAGTCTTTTTCGTACCTCGAGTCCTTCATGTCAGAGTGATGCCGTTTTCGATTCTCCCCGTCTTTGCTGCTCCTGTTGGTGTGGCCTCGCCCTGAATCTGAATCACTGTCCCTGTGCCGTCTCTTCTTCTTCTTCCTCTTCCTGGTTTCAGCTGCTCTGTCTGAATCCAGATCAGAGCTTCAAGCAGAGTGACAGAAAACAAAACATGATTGATAACAGTCCAACATTCAAACATATGAATATCAAGTCCCTGGAACTGAAAGGTAACCATTTTGTTCATGATTCATGGCCCTTATGCTAGGTTCACACCGCAAGCAGCAGAAGCAGCAGGTTTACATGCAAAGTCAATGGTTGACACGCATCAAGGTGCAGCAAAACGTCCTGCAGCGAGTTTTGAGCAGCAGGAGCAGGATGCGCTTCAGAAGCAGCAGCTGCTGGAGTTGGAAAAATTGAACTTTTGCTGCTGGACGCGCCACATCAACCAATCAGAGAAGCTGATCTGGGAGCTGGCAGGGAGACAGACACATTGCTGCTGATGCAGAGCGCTATGATCACTCCTCTGAAACAGTTTATCAATGCCTAAATTTACTCAAAATGTCAAAACCTACTGGCAAAAATTTATTGATTTGAATATTCTGGGTGCTGCAGTTTGGATTACGAACATCTTCCAGCCACTGCGAACAGTAGAGGAACAATGCGAAGAGGTGCCCAGGCCAGAGGCTGCCGTTAAACAGGATTTCCAGTCACAGAGCATCGCTGGTGTACGGAGGTCTGAGCGGCTCAGACAGAGAAATAATATTTAAAGGCAGGATGAACTCAATGTAAAGATTAAGTTCTTAGGTGGACTTTATCACATAAAAACATATTTAAACTACTTTTTACCCACTTATAACAGCTTCCATTGTTCCAGGCAAAGAAAGGCTAGGGTAGCTCCGCCCAACGCGCATCAGACCCACTTTTCGACAGCGCAGCTCGAGCAGCAAAGATGCTTCAGCCGCGGGTCAGAACTAAACTAGTACAGGCATCAGAAATGAAATGCGTTTTTGCTGCTTCTGCTGTGTGCGGTCTGAACGTACCATTAAGCTTGAACTAGATATTTAAATGACCTCTTAAAGAACCCCAGAAACTCTGAAGAAGTCCCAGAATGAAGTGAACCTTTAGATTTCAGCTAAAGATTGGAATCAGCACTATTCAAAGTGAACAAAAACACCTGGGACTTGTAATTGGGGCCTACCTGCTTTCGTGGTGCCGGTCTTTATCCTTCGACTTCTTCTTCTTCTTGCTCTTTTTATGCTTTTTCGAGCGATGTACCTCTGAGCTGTCCTCTCTGTCCTTTCTCAGATAAGCAGCTGTCTTCTTATCACTTTGATCATCCCTCTTATGAGTTGAAGAAGCATTAGAGAGATGATTCCGATGGGGGGAGACCTTGGACTTGTTTGATTCTAGGCCGGTACCACCAGGAGAGGGACTCCTTTCCTTTGAATAGTAACTGTCCCTGTCCCACCCATTCCTTTTGTCCTTCATTGGCCAGGACTCCCGACCGTCCTGTTGCCACCTGCAGCGACCGTGAGGCTCTTGAAGACGGGGGTGTCCTCTCCTCTCGTGGCTCAAATCAAACCTGTGATGGTAATGGCTGTAATGGTAAGAGCGTCGCTCACGATCAGGCTCCCAGGAGGGCCAGCCAGCTCGGTCCTTGCGCCGGTCGTAGTCCCAGTCCCTGTAGCTGCATTCAGGAGGAGGATACCGGTCCCTATATGAGCGATGGTGATCTCGGTAATCTCGTCTGTAGCGAAGGCGGTCGCTGTGACTTTCCCGTGGCAGACTTCTGTCCCTGTAGTGTTTCTCTCTGTCTCTGCTGTGCTCAGAGTAAAGTCTCTCCCTGTCATGGGAGGTCTGTCTTTCAATGCCTCTAGAACCTGACTTGGACTGGCACTGTCCCTTTTCCTCCATGTTAGTTTCAGTCCTGGCTGATGGACCATTGTTCTGTGGGGAATCCTTAACGTCCTCATTCTTGCTAAAATTCTCAGCAGCTGCTGAAACCCCGTTACCCCTTTCACAGCGGGCTGGTTCTGAGGATACGTTTGAGAAGTTCACGGGACACCCAGAACTAGCCGAGTCTCTAGATGCAACAGACTGGGTCTTGGATAAAGTGGCTGAAGGTGAAGCGCTGACAGCAGAGGATGGTGTTTGGTGAGGAAGGGGTTCGGGCAGCACTTTAACCCTTTCATCAGCAGCAGGGAGAGGTTGGCTTTCTTTAGCGGCAGGATGAATGTTCTCTGAAGCAGCCTGGGATGAGGCGGAGTCTCTGCTGGAAACATTAGCAAACAGAGCAGAGTCAGTAAGGCTTTATTCTTTAGGAAAAAACGCATCAGCCAATACAAGAAAAGTTTGGAAAGTTACAGGCAGTAATATATTTGTTATGCATTTTAAGATCATTTGTCAGACCATTAATCAGGGCTAAGATAATTAAATAGATTAACTGTAATTAATTGAATACAGAATCTATTTTAGTAATCCAATAATTGTAATCTGCAGAATAGAGGCTCTAAAACATCTCATTGTCTGAAAGAACAACTAAAAGCACAAAAAATATATAAGTTTTGCTTTTAAGATAAAATATTATCTTTTCCTGTGAATAGCATTTCTGACTTATGCTACGTTCACACTGGAAAAAGCTTCTGCTTCTTCATTTTTAAAGCTTGCATAGATTAAGGTCAGGCACACGTTAAGAGCATTCTTTGCGCTCCTGAAGTGCGTCCAGTAAAGTGTTTCCAGATGGGTCTGCTGCTCCTGTGTTAAATGGCAAAGAGCGGCTTTGCTATATTTGCTGGGATACGCTGAGAAAAAGTCATTTTAATATATTATAAGCAAGAAAGTAAAGCTGAAAACATCGTCTGTGCAGTCGGTTATCCAGATTACGATGCTGCGTTAAAATATTTTGTTGCAGAGTCACTCAGATCTTCCACATAAAGGCGGTGCGCTGTCGATGGGAATCCCCATCAGCAACAGATCCAACCCTCTCAGGCTACATAGGGGTGTTTTTCTGTCAGAACACATTCATTACTGTGTTGGACTAAGCGATTTAACGCTGTCTTCATTTAACCAACTTTAAACTCTTGTCTTCGGAAGGAAGTAGTACGACCTGAACAAGTAGCCAATCACAGGTAGTTTACCTTCTCCTGTCGGGTCCACCTTTACAGTGACAAACGTTGACAAGTGCTCAAAAAGTATTAGAGGCTCTACAGCTGCATAAAAAACTGATTTGATCAAATGTTTAAGCCTCTATGTATAAATTAAATATTTTGATAAAGATGAGAAGTCTGATTCCTGGTATGTTTAAGTACCAATAGTTTGCATCAAATCATTTCATTAAACAGCCTTAGTATTTGGGAATTTATATGAATTATGCTATAATTTGTAGTTACAATATTTTAATTTGACAAACCGGATCTTCTCTATGTTCTTTTTTCTATTTGGTGCGATTGCAATTGCAGATCTTGACTGAGCTAAAAATAGCTCTGCTCCGTATTTAGACGGTATCGGACGGAGAAGACGTACGTGGACGGTGACGTGCGGAGGAGTAGTGGAGGATGTGGAACAGCTCTCAATGATTAGCATAACAGACGAGTACTACGCATGACGTACGTGAGCGGGAGCTGTATGGTTAATTCTTAAAACTTTGACCACAGTGAAAAAGAATCCCTTCATGTTGAAGGACACAGAGCTGTTTTCCAACCAACCAGACACATTAATCTTACTTTGCTTCCTTATGGTCACTGCCAAGTCCATTGGCAACAGCATTCACAGAGGAACTGGTGTGATTATGGGTGGATACCTGTGGAGAACCAGAGGACGCTATGACTGACATCAGCTACACTAGCAACAGATCATTTGCAGGTTTTAACTATGATGAATAGATAGTTTACCTTATCAGGGGTTTGTCCATTTACTCTGTGGTGTCCATTAAATTGTCCATTTTGGTTTTTTTTAGTTAATTCAGAGGCTGATCCATTCAATTCACTACTGTTATGATGCAGATTTATTTCACCGTTAATGTTTTTAGAAGAGGGGGCGAAGACTTCTCCTGTGGCATTACTGCCCTTAGCCTGAAGCTTGGACGTGCAGCCCATATCCTGAGTGCTACAGCTCTCCTGGTCCGACTCTTCCGAAGACTCCTGACTGTACGGCACCAAGAAAGAGGACCCACTTCCACCGGCAGGTTGATCCCCGTTACTGCAAGACGTGCCGTTAACATGGTTTAGCTGACGTGGAACAAAGCGAACGTCTGAGGTAGACTGAGAGGCAGATAAAGAGCTGGAGGAGGAGCCGCTTGCTGAGGATGGGTGGCTGTAGGAGGAGGAGGAAGATGGGCGGTTCTGTTTGCCTTGTCCGATAAAGAACGAAAGTTTCTGACGCTTCTCTTGGTCTGGAATCGACGTGGGTCGGCTGATTGAGTGGGAGGCTGAGGAAGAAGCTCCTCCGTGGTTAGGTTTTCCAACTGCACTGCTGCTGGCCTTAGAGTTGCTGGGATAGTCCCTCAGAGATCCATTCCCATTAACATGGAGAGGAGTCTGAAAAAGAAAACAGAACTCTTTGAATCCTTAATAAGGAATGTCAAACATTGCAGTGAGCTTCTTGGCATTACCTTGGTCATGTGTGGTGGGAGCTGGGGACCTATGAAGCCTGTGTTGCTGTGGGGGATGGCGGTGTGGATGCGCTGCGTTACCACCGGCCGGGGAGACGACTGACCAGGGATACCTGGGTTATGGCTCAGATTGCTGTAGTCCCCAGACTTCTTCGCATCACATGATCTATCAGGAAAAAAAAAACTATTAAAAATGCATAAACAGTCCAACAATTTTCAACGACTTTGAATTTCCCATCGGATCATTAAAGTCTCAGTCAGAAGTTCTGAGAAAACAAGACTTGAATCTAAGAATCTGAACTACCACACTTCACAGCCACTTCTCTCTGCTGTGCTGCAGTCCTCACTGCACACTTTCTAGCTTTTTGTATTTATACCAAGCTGAGTCATGGTTTACTTACTTAATGTAGAAAAGCACATAGGCCTGTTGGTTGAGGACAGAGCGGACGTCACTCATAGACACAGAGGAGTCGTTCATGTGGTACCACTGACCATTGCTAGCCTGTGAGAATACAGAGATGTCAGCTTTGGTTCTGTTCTAAGATAGAAAAGTATGAACACATGAAGCAAAGCCAAAGCAAGGCTGATCCCTAACACAATGCATTACTATTCTGATATACCTTCAGTATCCGTTAGCTTTAACTATTCTTATTTGAAATAAACAAGAGGAGGCACGCCAGTTTGTCAAAGTCTAAACCAGATGAATTTTCATGGTGACTTTTAGCGTTCACCTTAATGTAGCAGAAGTAATGTCCAGCATGGCAGCTGAAGCCAGAGTGGACCAGCACAGCGTACAGGCCGTAGATCTGAGGCTCTCCTTGGGACTGAGACATGAAGGGCCGCAGGTCCAGGTATTCCGGATATTTAACATCCTGAACACACAAAGAAAGGATCAATTCAGAAAAAGGCTGGAAGAAAGGAAGAGAAAAATAGGATGTTTACTATAACCTCAATTAAATTAAAGTCTGTTTATTTATACAGCGCCAATTCACAACACATATCTCAAAGCACTTTACAGTTCACCAGACCCCATGCGAACTGGGAGGTTCACATGAGCTCAGTTCTACTAAATGTTCGTTCATGAGGACATTAGATGAACGGATTACAGTAGTGGAAGGTGAAAAAGTTGACCCTTTAAGCCGATCATACAGTGTGCGATTCTTTCAGTTGTTGCACGCAGCTACAGCTCACAATGTATGTTCTCACACTGTGCCGCCTAACGCTCTGATGCGATCTACCTCCTCACACTGTACGTCTAAAAACCATGTGGAACTCAGCTCCGCAGTGAGATGGTGCTACTTTGACTCGTCTATCCGGAAGCCAAACTAGTATACCAATATGAAGCTAACTAGTGTGAAATGCGCTGCCTTGGCTATTTGTGAAATTGTGTTTGCTGAAAAACCCAAGAAGAAAAGTACAGACGACGTATTTGGACGAAGACATGGCTGAGCAAACGTGGGTGCTACAGTCTGTGAATTTTACATAAAGAACTCCATTTCACTCATTGCACCCCCGCCATGATTCTGTGTTTTCATCTAAAAGGAAGAAAAAAAAGAAGAATCCTTGTTTGCCCACTGAGGGATTTGCCGAGGATGGTCGACTGAAAATAAAACAACCTCACAATTCCTGACCGGGAGGTGGTCACGAGAGGCTTATCGCCACTCGTTACCCCCTGGACACTACATGACGCACGCTCAGGCTGAAAGTCGGGCCGATCAGAAAATTCTCGCTCGTCTGGAAAGTCGCCCTGAATAGGGCAAAAATTAAAAAAAACTGCAGTATAAGCGCGGCTTTACACAAACAGTGTGATGTTACCAGTACTTAGGATAATCTGGGACATCATGAAAGGAAATTATGCATATTGCTGCTGAACGCAATAAAAAAAAAAAAATCAATGTTTTTTTTCTACCTTTGTGATTTTTCCTCCAGTGAAGTTTGCGAATCGTTTTAGTGAAAGGGTGAGCACATTGGGGCTGCGGTGGATTGTGAATCTCTTCGAGGCTGTAACCATTTTTTTGCACCTGGGGAAAAAAAAAATATATATTTTTTTCAGTTTCATAAAGAAAGAGAAGGATATAAACAAAACACAGGACTGTGCTTGTTGTCTTTAATATTTACTTTGTGCACTTGTAGGCATTTTCACCATCTAGCTGTTCTGGTTTGACAAACTGCTCCAGAGCTTTGGAGACACTCGGTGCCGTCTAAATAAAAAGAACAAAAAAAATAAAAAATACATTCTCTGGTTCTGCCTTAACATAAGATGATAATTTATAAAACATTTGTGTTGGACAATGAATTTAGTCCCGATTACCTTAATCTCCAAAGTGACATCCAGAAAAGGATCGAATGTATCAGAAACTGATTTGCAGTTCAGACATTTTACTGAAAGACAAAAAAAAAAAAAAAGAAGAATGTGAAACTGAAATAAAACTACTTGAAAAGAAACCAAACAGCAGCAATATTTACCTCTGGACCTGAGGTACCCTCCAAATACTTGATGGATGAAAGTGGTGGCCTGCGTTTGCCGGTCCAATCTGTCACAGACAAAATGTTACTCAATGTTTCAGTCAATAAATATGAAGGGGAGCTTCATGTACTTATAGGTTTACTGGCCCAATTCTGTATGAATAAACTGCTGACGGACAACAGACACTGTAGATTTAATTAAAACCTAGGGTTTAAACAAATAATCAGATTAATCAGATTAATCAATTAATTATATAATCAACTGTTTTACTAATTGATTAATTGTTAACTGGAGTGTAGAGACTCTAAAGTGTTTTTCTTTAGCTTTCAGAGTGACCCATCTTTAGCAGCAAAACATACCGAAATTGTTAAAATAAATATGGAAACATTTTGCATTTAAGATAAAAAAAAAAACTTTTCATCTGTCATTGTGCTCAATCCAGAACTCCTCAAGTAGAAACTAGGGCTGCAACAACGAATCGATAAAATCGATAAAAATCGACTTTTAAAAGCGTTGGCAACGAATTTCATCATCGATTAGTTGTGTCGCGCGATTATTGTGTCATCTGCCGCGCCGTCATCACTGCCTCTTGACTGAAAGAGGAAGAAAAAAAAATACGGCAGAGCGAGTCAGCGCCGCAGGTGCAGTGTTGCCAACTCCGCGACTTTTCAGACCTCTCCAGCGACTATTTTTCAAAAAAGCGACTAGCGACAAATCTGGCGACTTTTTTCGGTGTCACTGGCGGCTTTTGGAGACTCTTACGTGAAAGCATGCATCGTTCCTACTCTGCCGTGGGGCGCCTCCCCCACCCCAACCGCGTTTTCCCGCAGGAGTCCCTCTCAGCTCTGCAGTCAGCCTCAGCGTCCAGACTGCAAATGAAGCGCGCATGCGCCGGGATTGATGGCGCAAATTGATCACAATAATTAAAATAGCCTGCGCTTTGTAAAGCGAAAAAAGTGATAACATGCAACTTTTTTCAAAAGAAATTAACATGGCACGGAACCACCATGTTTGTTTGGTTTTAAAGTGGGGAAACGTAACGTTAGTTTCTCAGGTAGCTCATCTGATGCTTTCCTTACCGTGTTAGTAGGTTACAGACAGTGATAAGGTTGGCTACTTATTTTACTTTTAATTTCATTTGAATTAGCTTAAGCAGCGTTTATATTTACTTTATAAATAAATTAACTTGCAAATTATGAGGGCAAGACTTTTAAAGTTTAAATCTTCTGGCAAAGATAAAGTAAAGATGATCCTGCAATTTATGGAAGTAAAGCAGAATAAAATCCAGCAAGATCAGTAATATGTCAATTAATTATATTTGCCACATTCCCATGTAAATATCTGTCTTTGGAGGATGTGTTTTTTAGCACCCCTAGTTCTCTCATTTTTATTCCAAATACAATTTATAATTTGAATCACAGGGCTATTTTTATCTCTATGGTTCAGTATTTTCTCAAGTAGCAACTTTAACTGCTATACTTTCCTGTCTTAAAAGGCAGAACTCTTCTAGTCTAAATAAACTCATTTGTTGAAATGGGGGGGCCTATTGTTTGAACCCCTTAGGGGCTTTTAAAAACAAAAATGTATTTTTTTGCGCTTTATGAAACAAAGTACCCTATATTTGTACAGCTACATTTCTCATGTAAGTTTGCGTAGTTTTAACACAAACATTTATTTTTCATATTGCACCAGTACAGTTAATGAGCAACCTGTACTTGTGTGCTTGTTTGTTCTGTCTATAATGTTTATTTTGGAATAAAGAGGTTAATATAAAAAATATTTTTTGTCCGATTCATCGATTAATCGAAAAAATAATCGTCCGATTCATCGATTTTTAAAATAATCGTTAGTTGCAGCCCTAGTAGAAACGTTTTTAGCTTCACCTGGTTTACTTTCATAACAGAATTTTCTTTAAGGAACCTCTTCTATCCGATTATTAATTGATTAATCGAAAAAAACGATTGACAGATTAATCAATTTACAAAATAAGAGTTAGTTGCAGCGCTAAATAAAATCCCAGATTTATTAAGTGAGGTTTGCATAGGAGGTTGCCATATTGTGTAATTTTTAAATCCTTTTTGTTTTAGGTAAATGAAAGACTAATATTTTGTAAACTAAGAACCAAATCAAAAACACAACATAGAACTGTGTGTAATCTGAATGACCAAACTAGATCTTAATATAAATAAGATTTTATGTAAAAAATCTGAATGGATCGTAAAAACTTAAAATCAGAAACACCATTAGATTCAGTAAAATCCAAGGACTTCTAACATGTTGAAATGATACTAATGGTTTATTGATTGAGGAAATAAAAAATGATCCAGCATAAAGTGTTGTTTAAGGAGACACCTTAAGTGAATTAATTTAGATGTTAAATTAAAAAAGAAGCAGCTTTAATTTGATGAAATCTTCACCAGGACCTGTCTCAACTAAGAGCCCCTTCATGAAAACTTTAATTAAACATTTTCAAAGATGTTGTACTTGATAATAAAGGAAGTTTATTAAAGGTGTCTTTGCCTAGACACATAATTTATTGAAGTCATGTATTAAAATGAACTATAAATAACATAATTACTGTGGTTAGCCAAATGAAAGCATGACCACACTCACTTAGTTCCAGGTAAGCAGGACTTTTGCATAGCGTCCACCGTGTACCGCAGGAACTCATGTGCATCCTCCTGGCTTCCATAGCGGAAGTGCTTTGCTATTCCTGGGTAAAAAAAAAAATATTTAAAATCATCAAACCAAAAGAGAGTGTTTGGGTGTGGTTAAATATAGCACTTAAAAAGCATAAGAGTAAAGTTCCAAGTGCAAATACTAAATGTGGTCAGAAAATGTTCCCTCCATAAACAAAAAGGCCCAACAGCGCCCACTACAGGCCGATCTTTACAGTGAGTGATTTCACCTGGAGGCATTGTAAACATAAACTTACGTTTAAGCTCATTGAGGACACCGATGGGCTTAATGACATTCCCAGAGTTGGCAAAAACCTGAATGATATGGTTTTGCATTGTGCACATCATACAGAACCCAGGCTCATGACCTAAAGGCGAAGAAAAACTGATTAATGGGCAAAAATTACAACAACAACAACAAACAAACAAAAAAAAATAATTTCCACAAATGCTGCTGGACTAGTAAGGAAAAAAATATATATTCTAATACTTTTTGGTAAACAATTACCAAAAGGACAGACTTACAGGTTTTGGAGTGCTCCCTTGACAGCATGAAGTTGGTTAACGGCGGAGTGTAAGTGAGGCATTGCAGGGCTGAGTTGAGGAAGCATGTGTTCCCCATGTTCTGCAGGCCAGCACCGATGCGGTGAACCTGTGTCCACTTTAAGCTGAGCCGCTCCGGAGGAAACAGGACCTTCTGGGGTGAGTCAATGCCATCCTCACTGCTCATTACTGGCCAAACAGAACAAGAGCTAAAATTACAGAAGTCTCTTTTGTTTCTAATTTTATCCCAATCCACTGATGGCATCAGAGGCTTAAGTGACTGATTGTGCTCCTGTTTTTAAACTAGCTTTGTTATGTAACTGGATGAATGAAAGAGGAGAACAAGCCGGGCACAAAGACTATTGTGTCATACGTGTGCAAACACAGCTGATAAACACTTCCCTATAACTGAGTTCAGCTTTATTATAGTTCACTAATATATAAACCAATTTGTAGTAAAAAACAAAAATGGAAAAAAGACTAAGAAAAACGTTACCTTTGTTTAATGTGGGTTCAAAAAAAAAAAAAACATAACAATTTCCCCACTTTCACTAGGAATAGGAAAGCTGACCATTAGCTAACATATTTGAGCAGTTTTAGATTATCTGCTATACAACCCCAGCGTCTGCTCTGACTGATGTGTGTAGAATTAGATCAATAGATCTGGCCTTTAAAGACGAAACATAACCCTTCTTAGATTCTTCTTCTATTCCCCTCTCATCCGCACATAAAACAGCAGAAAATAAAGGTCTCTCCTTGTACCTTGGTCCTTGGGACAGTCCACAGTGGGGTGAGTGCCGTTATAGACGGCAGCCCCTGGCATCGGACCCAGGCAGCCTCCTGGAGACTTGAGCCTCGGAGAGTCACCGGCCATGCTGGGACCCACCGCCCAACTACTGGAACAACTGCCGTCCATCCCCACTTCTCCACTGGTGAAGGATCGGTTAAATCCAACTGACTCGTGGTCAGATTTTTCTGACAATCTGTCAACTATGGTCATTGTTCATAGCTGCAATAGAGAAACACAAAACTACACAAAATTATATGAGGCAGAAAGGGAGAAAATACGCAATGATTTTTAGTTAGATTACAGTTCTTAAAAACAATGAAACACGGATAAACATATCAATGGAGAAAAAAAAATACAAAAATGCTAAATGAAAACAGTAATATAATAAGAATAACATATCAAAACTTAAAAAGTTGATGGAACCCTTTTTTTCATATAATACAGTAGCAGTACATGTGTAATCTTAGAGCCTAAGGATAAACATGTTTTGTTTCTTAATGACAAAAGGGGGGAAGAGATGATGTCAGAAATAAGGTAGAGGCACTTTGAAGGCTACTTATTTTTATTTAGAGCTAGAGGATGAGACTGAAAATGCACCGCTGTAGTGGGACTGTATTCAAGATGACTTTGGAAGATCTGTGGGCAGCTATCCTTGCATTCAGTGGTTTGAAGGATTAGTCATTTACCAGTTACTTGCATCAAAACATCCTCAGAAGTTCAGTGTTTGTCTCTCAAATGGTTCTTAAAATATTAATGAGATACCAGAGAAATAGCTAGCATGATCAGATTTCTCTGGGCACACACGCAGGAAAAACAAAAAGCATCAATTAAAATGCGAGTTCTCAAGTTTTGATGCATTTAATAAAAATAAATTGATGCGATTAATAATTTTCTAGTATTTCATCTCCCAATCAAGTCAGGTTCACACCTAAGCTGATTGAGTTGCTCTTCTCAGATATTTCATCTTTTGTACATTTTCAAAATGACATTACATTTTTTTTTAAATACTAGCATTCCATTAATAATAATTTCACAGTATTTCCTATATCCTAAATTTCCTTTTAGTGTTCAGTATATTACTGGCTTGAATATTGTGTACCTTTATGGGAATCTGCATGCTTCCATTTGGCTCTTACTTTGCAGCTGGTACACTTGAATTTCCACACTGTGGAACAATAAAGGGTTTTCCCATTTCTACATGGGAAAATCAAAGCAACAAATTAATGGTAAAGATAATTTAACACATTTCCACAGCATTTTTTGTTTTGTTTGAAACTAAAGGAGTTACATTTTGATTGCATTATAATTCCTTCCAGAATACTCCAGAAGGACAGTGAGTTGCTCAGTTTTTGAAGAAGTCTGCTTGGGGGGACTGGATGAAGTTAAAGTACCTTCTCAGAGGTGTTTTTCTGGTCTAAGTATAATAAAAAGTGTAAAGATTGTATCCATTGTCAAACCTGCTAGCTCTACAACAATAAAATGGGTAAGGGAAAACCATTAATAAACATTGAGGATGTTCAATAAGCTTTTTTTGACAATGCAAATGTTTTTCTCATTATTAGTCACTGAAGGTTACTATGACTTGTGTAGAAAATGCAATAAAAATGAGAACAATTTACTTAAAATCACAGTAGAGCCAAGTAGTTTGCAGTCTTAACGCTGCTTGCTATTTTCTTCCCCATTTACAACAGTTTTATTACATCCTAATATTTCACAACATCGAAGAAAAAAAAAGTCAGGTGGTTGTATTTAAATTCCACTGAGGGTATTTTCCAGATACATGTCTCAAGGATGAAATAGAGAATATTAGAATCATTATTTGCTTTGAAAATGACTGAGTTTGAACTATATTGCTCCTGTTAGTGGCGCATAGCTAGCTGCCTTACTACAAGTTACACAAGCCAGACATTTCCTTGTTAGCTGCAGCTGTTCCATCCCACCTGCTCCCGCAGACAGACTGACTTACATCGGCTAACAGACAGTAGCGAGGCCTTTAACACGCAGCGCCTTTAGAACCGAAAGAGAACACGCAGTAAGACCGACTCTATGCGAGAAGCGAAGCCCAGATAAAACAAATACAATTTGACGAACATTGGAAACGACTGGCGGGTTACCAAGACGATTGTCGTTAAGGAGACGAAGAATGGAACCAATAGAAACGACACAATTCCTGCTAATGCGGCTAACGGGTTGGCTAGCTAGCAGTCAGTTGGTGCTGGCTAACGCCGAGAAGAGCCCTGTAGCTATGAACTGGGGTTTTAGCGGGAAGGCAATGGAGATCATTTTTATTTATACTGCCTTTCAACTCTACGGGTTTTATAAAAGATTTGTCCCTCAGGATAATAAAGGGCTGGGCAGCACACCGGCGCCTGTGCGTGCTTACTGCGTTGCTCTCCGACATGACAGAACCGGTACAGCGCTACTACAGCGAATCCCAGCGGTTCGGGCCAACTGCTGCCCCCCAGCGCGTCACCACTTCTAACGTTAGATCGTTAAAGCAAATCAACACTCACCTGGAGTCTGTTATGAACATCTTAATAGCCGTTTTAAATCCATTTCTTATTTCCAACGGGTGTCCGCCGGTGAACAATGACGTAGCTAATTGCCCCACGGCTACATCCGGGTACCTGCCATGAAACGGCGCCTCTGATAGGTCCATCCGACACAGATCCGTGAGGAACGTGTTTCGGAAATATCCGACGCATGTTCTTAACTCTGACCTTATTGTGCTTTGTGCGCCACAGTGACACAAGTCATGTTGCACTATAAACACTGACATTTCAACTTAACTACAAAGAAAATATCTTAAAATAAGATCCCATTAAATTAAGCCTTTTGAGATGTAAAATATTGAGGTTTGCCACAAGAGACAATAGCCAAGAGAGAATCAAAATACATTAATGTTTGGAAAATACGATTTAAAGTACTTTTTATTATGATAGGTGGAGAATGGAAAATCTAGATTGCAAAAAAAACTTTACAATGCCACCAAAAACCAAAATCACAAGACTCAAATGCAACAAAAGCATCTTGCAACCCTTGAAAAAGCTTTTATTTAGCAGCTGGATGGAAATAAATATAATACAAAAAAAAAAACGATAATATATCTAGGTGTAGAAGGCACAAATGTTCACACCTGTATCAAGTCAAAAAAAAAAATTTAAAACAGTGGCTCATAAAATAAGTTTTATAATTTTTCTTAAGGCTCTGGTCTTTTTCAGTTCGGGGAAGCTGTGGAGTTCTGAAGCCGGCTGATCTGCATCCTCAGCTGCATGATCTCCTCCTCCTGTTCTTCCACTCTCTTCTGTAAACCGTGGATTACCTGAAAGGGGAGGAAATGTGTATTAAAGCTAGTTGTTAGATACAGACGCATTAGCCCTGCAGGTACAACAAAGCCCTGCAGGTCCAAACTTTTTTGTTTCCAACTTAAAACAAGGCTTGGGGCAGTATGATAACACAAACCTAATTCAAACTAACATACAATATTAGGTAAATACTTATCCCAATCTACCATGTCTTTATTGAAGAAAAGTTCACTCTCTAGAAGTTGTCTGGCTGCTGGCCGAAAACTGGGGTCTTTATTTGTCAGGTTTCTGATGTATTTGGTGAGAACTGGCCATCGGTGGCAGAAGGAGTCAGGAATTTTCCCTTCTCTCAGGTCCCCGAGGGTTCGGACCCGCTCCATCTCTGTCCCAAAAGGCTGGAACAGTTCAAGAGCCAGAACCCCAATGCTGTACATATCTGACTGCAAGAGGACCAGATTCAAACGTAGTATTAAAACATGCAGAAAAGACTGTGTTTTATTTTATATATATATATAAAAGAGATAATCACAGAACTAAAAACATTGTAATAATTAAGGTCATCTAAGGATATTTCATCATAATTACCTTTGAATCATAATAAGAGCCTTCTAGCTGTTCTGGTGCAGCATAAACAAATGTTCCAACCCCTGATGTGTGGGGGAAATCTGCAAAACACAAAAAGATCCATTCAGTGTAAATTGTGCCATCTACTGGTATGTTATGAACATGTAGTGTTTTAAGAGTTTATTAATTACCGCCACCAGGAGAACTAGTTTTATGGTCATCTACTATCATATCCCTACAAGCCAAACCAAAGTCTCCAATCCGGACGTGGCACTCATGACCATGGAGGAAAATGTTCCTCGGCTGGAAAAACAAAACAAAAACAAAAGCTATTAGAATGTGTGAGATCTAACCGCAGAAATTTAAAGTAGTTATAAGTAAAAAGACACTGTATCATATTGTCCACATGCCAGAGGCAATTTATTCAGTCCCAAAAAAGTGAAAAATTCTTTTTGAAGCAGATATTTAAAAATGTTTTGTTTCAGTGTAGCCGTTGAAACCTGGCAAACAGATTTTGAGGAAAATCGAAGCATTGGTGGTACAGTATAATGCAATGGTGTTTTGCAGGTTTTCAGTAAAGCCCTGAAAACACAGAATCAGATTTTGTGTCCAATCCAACAGAAAATCGTGTCGGAGGAGGTTTTTGCATTAAGCGTTCATTGAAAGTAAATGGAGACGACAAGGGCGTAGGTTTGATTTCAACTTTGGTAGGGACACTATTCTTCAGTTTCATTGGTCCTTTGCAAAAATATGCATGCTCTTTTTTATGCTTAATGTGAGCTTCAGGGCTCATTTTGTTTAAAGAGAACAGCAGCATTTCTTGCTACATTAATACAAATCTTATAAGCACTACATGCACTAGATGCTGTTTATCAATATTTAAAGCATAACTTGCTCTGATGAATGTGGAATTAGGACTTTTTCCACTTTGAAAAGGATTGCATTTAAATTTACCTGCTACTAAGACAGTGTCTGTTTAACCAAATATAGTCTAAATATGTGGATTTATCCTGTGTTTTCTTTTGATGATATAGAATTGTGCAGAGGTAAAACCCCACTCTTATTTTTTTTTTTTAATCTAATATGCTCTCTCTGGATCATGCAAAATAATACATTCAAGGGACAGCAAATAAATGTATTGTATTTACATATGCACTGGAACTAGAAGAGGAACTGACACTGAGCATTTAAAGTATTAATATTAGAAGTTGTACATCTGGGCTGTTGTTACTTTCTGTAGCTAATTTCATGTATTTTATCTATGGCTGAAACAATTAATCATATTAACAAATTATTTAAATAATCGTGAACTATGTAATTGATTAATCGTTAACTGGAATATAGGGCCACTAAAATGTGCCTTTAGCCGACAGAGCGACCCACTTAGAGCAGGAATTATACCAAGATTGTAAAAAATATGTAAACATTTTGCATTTAAGAAGTAAAAAAAAAAAAAAGTTTTTGTCTGTCAGTATTCTCCATCCAGAACTCCTCCAAAGGAAACGTTTAAACGTTTCTGTTTCACCTGGTTTCATTTCATAAAAGATCTTTAAGGAGCCTTTGGCCATCTGATTAAAAGATAAAATAACAGAAATCCTAACGTTGTTAACTTACATTTCTCAAGTTCCACAAATCAAAAAACTCTCTCCTGCTTCTTTACAGAACTCCAATCAGAAGCTTTCGCCTGTTTTAGCATAGATAATAAGTTTTTTTCATTTGGACTAGTTTCGTAGCCCAATATTAATTTATTTTAGCGTCTTTTTTTCGCGCTCCAAGCACCCGCGCGCACACACATACAGACTAGAAAACACGCAATCAGAAAGAGAGAAGGCGGAACTTAAGGCAGAATAATCAGAGAGTTAAACCGTGCAGCTCAGTTGATGCCCTGCTATGTGAAAGGGACAGGAAAGAGCAGGCAGCTGCAGCTACCAGACAGAGAAGCTGCGAGCGGAAAAGAAGCGCCTGCTGTATAGTAAATTATAAACATGTTGTTTACATCCAATTATTGGTAGGGACAAATAGGTCCTTCCAAAATTTTGGTAGGGACATGTCCCTATGGTCCCTATGCAAACCTACGCCCATGGGAGACGATGACATCAAACATCATTTTCTGCAGAGGGCTAGCATAGCTCAGACTGAGGCCGACCCCTTTTAGTCAGACTATGCATCAATTCAGCGGGAATGCCATTGGTCTGACAGGAAGAGGGAGACGCAGTTACAAAGTAAAACACTCACACACTCACAATCTACTTTGGCAGGAAATACAAAATAAAAATAAAATCTGGTCAGGTTTGGAGTTGAACAGCCCACATAAAGCACACATGGAAGACTCATGAATGAATGAATGAATGAATAATTGAAAGAAAGAACATTTTAACCATTGTAGGAGTTCAGGAGGACAGAAAACAGATAAAGTAGTGATTCTCTCGAAGTCTTGCAAAAACAGTGAAGGAAACTAGAAAGTGCAGCTTCTCGCTCTGCTCCAAAAAAACAAACAAAAAACTTTGACAAACTTCAGGATAGAAAATAGATATGGTTATATAGGGATCCTCTTTGAGCCTCATAAAAAAAGAAAAAAAATCTAGGGGTAGAGGGTGTAGAAAAACAGCTGATCACTCTCCACTCTATGAACAAAATTTTTTTAAAAATTTAAACAAACTTCCCAGATCCCTCTTAGAATCTCCTCTCAGTGTCTTAGCCAGCATATAAACCGTCCCACAGCCTTAACTGCTGCGTTTTCCTTTTCTTAAACATTGTTCCCATTATGTTTTTAATACAGGCCAATAACAATTCTGCTTTAAGCGATTGTTAAAGATAGGCTCTCTGTGTGTCTACACCTTGAAGCTTTCTCTCTCCAGTTCTTTTCCTGAAAAGAGACCACTCAGGACAAACTCTTTAAATAACACTCCATAATGTATATGTATTAAATAACCAGGAGACATGACAACAGATTTTGACAGAAATTGTAATCTTTCTCAGATCAGAGAAGCTACAAAAGGCAGCTGCTTACAAACTGGGCTCACCTCTCAGGAAGAGGCCACGATTAAAAGTTAAAAAGGCATTTTATACATCTCCAGTCTGCTGCATCATTACATCATTCACGTTAGCAGATGAGGAGACATCCATGGCTCCAGCCTTATCAAAATATTACACTTTATTCTTAGCTGAAAGTCACTGCTCTCATTCCATTTCCAAATATTTGCCACGTACAAAATGAAGATTATAACTGTATATCCGAACAGAGGAACTGTCTTAATTAGATAAAAAAAATTGCGAAAAACATCAGTTCTGGCAATATTAAGGTGTAATAAACTCACACATCATGAATGATAATTATCCTAACAAGATACTGCACAGGCTCATTAGGTGGGGCTTTTCTTTGTAGCTGCACCGATTGTTTTTTTATTTATTTATTTTTTTTTAAATAATACATTTTCATTATCTATTCAAGTCAATTGTATTAAATTGTGTGGCACAGAGACAGATCTGCCCACCCTGTGCAGCCGCAGCCTCTCTGTATGCACTGCAGTCAGTGTGACAGAAACAAAGAATTAAAAATACACGGATGCGAGATCAAAAAGTTGAACGCAGCTGATATGAACCGGGCTCAAACGTGCAAAAAAAAAAGAAAAATGATTAGACTGGATTTATTTATTGTGGTATTTTTATATAAAGTTATGTTATGAAAATCTCACCCTGATCCTCCATGATCCTTGCTGCCACAGTTAAATATTTAACTTATTCTAATAAATCAGGATAAATATTTATTCGATGTGTGATGCATCAATAAAGCCACAACGCTCTACTGGTTTTTGTCACCAAGCCAGGTGAACAGAGAACTGTAACAGCTTCAAAAACATCCTGTTTCATCTAATCGAGGCTTACGTCTGCATTGTTTTTACAAGTATGTTTTTATAACAATAATGAACTACAGGGCATTCATGCAAATGTTCAAATTTAAAACAGGAGAGAATACCAAATCAACCACTATTAATAAATAAAACCCTAGTTTTTACTAACAAAAATAAATGCTACACTGGCAGTTTTTGCAAAGTAGTAACCGCATCCCAAAAATACAAAAACAAGAGACACAAACACAGAGGGAGGGTGTCAACACCCCCCCTAAAGAGGCCCCGACTGCAGGCAGGAGTTATCAGATGTAGGAGGAAGCCTGAGCATCAAGGTTAGACCAGTACAGCCCAATATGATGAAATTAGACATGAAAAAACAAAAACAAACCAAAAACACTAAAGCAGAAGTAGTAAAAGAAAACAGCGAACACAAAGAAAGAGGAAGCTGCTGATTATTCTACAATAAGTCTTCAGAGCTGGAGCAAAATAACCAGAATTACTTGATTCGAAGCCACCATCTCTTTAAAGAAGAAACTGAAGGAAGTAAGTCTACGAAAACCAGCAATGGGCGAGGAGCAGCGCAAAGACAGATATGTGGAAGGTAGGGTAACCAAAACGTACGGTAATGAATTCTACACGGCTGTCATGAATGAGAACGTCAGAGGAATTGAAGAGATGGTGAGGAAATATGGGAGCAACTGTCAGATTGAGATACAGGAAGGTGCATCTGGAGCATTCTGGAAGGTAACACAAGCTTCTATGGAAATACATCTCTAAATCAAGATTAATAATACCGCCTTAATAACGTGAACTTAGTTATGGAAAGATCTGTTTACACATTGACACTTTCTATCTCCATTTCTTTTCTCGAGAAGAGATCACTCAGTACAAATTCTTTAAACTACCAGGAGACGTGACAACAGATTGTAACATAAATTATAATCTTACTCAGACCAAAGAACCTGCTTAAAGTTACAGAAGGCAGCTTCTTACCAATCACAGTTAGAGAAGCATTTTATACAACTCCAGTCTGCCACACTATCACATAATTACAACAATCAAGGACACCGCTCTCATTCCATTCCTAAATCTTTGCCACATAAATAATAAAGACGACTTTTTATCCTGACTGAGGAACTGTCCTAATGAGATAAACTACTTGGGAAAACATTAGTTCTGACACACACCTGGCAGGTAGTATGAGGGTTTAAAGGAATAGTACACCCAAAACATGATTAGCCTTCATTTTCTACTCACCCCCATGCTGAACAACACTCTGGAGAACTTTTTTGATATCTCAAATGCATCTGGAGATCTGGGAGGCTTCTTGCTGTCTGCTGACATTCAAATAATGGAGGTCTATGGTGCCCGAGACAGAAAGGTCCATAAAAGTCCACAAAAAACGTCTCAATATTCCTCCATACTGCTCGTCCAATGTATTCCAAGTGTCCTGAGTGGGTAGCATCCAGAATTTACTCGAAACGAAGTCATTTAGAATGTTTTTAGAGCATAAACAGTAGTGTATAGGATTTCCTGAAAGCGCGCGCCGGCGCGTTCACGACGCTACGGAAGCCGGCAGACCAAACCAGATGAAAGTGCGCATCTGCTCTGCCAATAATGCAAGCGTAGAAGAAGAAATGTGCTGTTTACCTGTGCAAAGAAAGAAACAACGAAAGAAAAATGTCTGAGGACTTCAGTGTTGAGGAAGAGCATGAGTTCTTTGCCGAGCTGAATGCGCTGGTTTGGTCTGCCGGCTTCCGTAGCGTCATGAACGCGCAGGCGCGCGCTTTCAGGAAATCCTATACACTACTGTTTATGCTCTAAAAACATTCTAAATGACTTCGTTTCGAGTAAATTCTGGATGCTACCCACTCAGGACACTTGGAATACATTGGACGAGCAGTATGGAGGAATATTGACACGTTTTTTGTGGACTTTTATGGACCTTTCTGTCTCGGGCACCATAGACCTCCATTATTTGAATGTCAGCAGACAGCAAGAAGCCTCCCAGATCTCCAGATGCATTTGAGATATCAAAAAAGTTCTCCAGAGTGTTGTTCAGCATGGGGGTGAGTAGAAAATGAAGGCTAATCATGTTTTGGGTGTACTATTCCTTTAACAGACTCACACATCATCAGTAATAAATACTCTAACAATCTAAACACAGAAATGCTCTAACTCAGTTTATGCTTAGAAGCATTTCAAAGCTAACAAAGCAGAGACTCAAAGACAGAACTTTTACATTGAAGTTTCCCTCTCTGCCTTAGGGCTCCGTCTGTCCCCTTCACCTGGCTGCTGCCTTCAGAAGAGCACGGAGCATTCAGAGTTTGCTGTCAGCAGGAGCTGATGCAGACTTTAAGTAAGAAAACACAAAAATGTTTCAACAAAAATCTGAAAGCTTCTGGTTATTTTTACACTTCCTGCTAAACAGGGAAACCAGGAAGAAAACAGCCCACATATTAGTTTTACTTTGAATGTGAAATGCCCGTGTTTCCAACACTGTTTATTTCGCAGAGACCAGCTCGGTCGGATTCCACTACATCTGGTCATCATCAACTGGCCGACTGCCTTAATGACCCGGAAAAAACCTTCCTCCAAGTACTGGAGCTCTATGCTGAGAGAAAGCAGGCAGGCTGAGGCCTGCTTACGGCTCCTCTGTGATCATGGAGCTAATGTCAACACACGGGTAAGGAGGTCTCACACTTCTTACCCACAATAAAGTATCAAATTCACTGTAAGACATCATCTTACTAATGTATATATGTTGGTAGATGGATGAAAAAGGTCAGCCAACGGCTCTTCATGTCTCGGTACGTTACAAAGCCCTGCCTGCTGTCTCCATCCTGATCAGCTATGGTGCTGATGTAAACGCTGTTGACAGCAGAGGGATGACGCCGCTGCACATGGCGGCAGGGATCCTCCATCAGGAAATCACAGCAAGGTTGATTCATCAGGGAGCTGATGTGAACACGGTTTGTTCTACATCTTTGTTTAAAATTATGGAGTGAGTTTGTTCCAAGAGCGCATTCTGGAAATGGGAATTTAAAAAATAAAACAAGCCTGAAATTAAACTTTCAAAAACATTTTAATCATTAAAAGGTTTGGAGAGTAACTTTGCTGTTTTCTCACATTTAATTATATATATATATTCTTTAAATCTATGTTTTAACTCTTATTTTTTGTCATCCTTTTCTTAAATTAATTTTTTTAATCAATTTCCTATTTTTCTATGTTATATTTATTACTTTTGACAGATTTTACATTTATCCATTTTCTTTTTATTCAAGTTTTTCAAATTGAGTTTTATTAATTGCTTTCTCTTAAGTTGCAATTTAAGCCCAATCAAAACGCTCGTTCTCCACGTCCATGCTGATCAATAGAAACTCATCTTTGCTCTTTACTCCAGAAAAGAATGCAATTCAAAAAACTCAATCTAAAAAGATAAGCAAAATAAAAAACATAAATGGAAAACAAAAATTTGAAGAAAAAAATAATTTTAAAGAAAGAAACATAGGATAAAAATGTATCAGGAAAAATTACGGTAATCAGAAAAAAATGTACTCTTAAAACCTTTTTGTTTACTTAAATTATTTTCTATGTTCAATTTCTGCTGGATGATATATTTTTTCAAATTTCCATTTACAAAGTGTTTTTCTCATCACATTTCTATTTACGATGGGTTTTTTGCTTGCTAGAATAGTGCAATACAAGTTACTCCTTATTACACATAAAATTGAATTTGCTCGGTTGGTTCATTTCTTAAATGTAGTGAAGTCTTGAAGATTGTAGTTTTCATAACTTTTTTTATTTTCCAAAGAGGATGCAGCAGTCTGGGAACACTCCTCTGCATATTGCCGTAGTTGCTGTGATGACAAAGAGCACTAAAATCCTGGAGGAGGACATCAGCTGCATCTCTGAGCTGTTGGAGCATGGAGCGAATGCAAACACCATAAACAAGGCGGGGATGTCACCATTGCATCAAGCATGCAGCCTTGGCAATGAGGAGCTGCTGGATCTGCTGCTAAGATACGGAGCTAGCGTCAATAAAGTGAGCGGAGCAGGCGAGAGCTGTCTGTTTCTGTTTCTGGACCAGCGACCTAATCTGAGGAACAACTCTCTCCTGATGAAACTGCTTAGTCTGAGCTCCCCGCTCACAGTCTGCAACCAGAACGGCTGCTTACCTTCAACCTTAAATCAGCAATGTTTCCTCAAACAGAGAGAACAACTGTTCAACCTAACTCAGCAGCCAAAGACGCTTCACGATATTTGCAAAATATCAGATCTATCTGAAATATATCAGAGGACGACAGAAAGAACTTCAAAAAATCCTTCCTGAAAGCTTGTATGCTTTTGTCTTTAACCAGTGGGAGATCATAAACCTTTCCTTTGTGGTCGACTGAAATTGATTTCCTCAAAAAATAAAATCATCTATAGGAATGTGATCTCCTGCTTATCCAGAATCCTTTCCTCAGAGAGCTCAAGCATTATTTATAGGAAGCAAAATCATCTTTACAGCTTCAACTCATTGAAGGAATACAGTAAATAACTCTGTACGCAAAATAAAACATGTTTGCTTGATCTGTTTGCACCTTTTTGTTCTCTAAAAGAGCCAACTTATTATCAACTGTCACAGATCCCCCAGCCTCACAGTAGTGCCTGTAGAAGACCCAGATTTGGATCCAGAACCAGGAGACCACAGAGGCCATCTGAACTCAGACCCACCAACAGCCTTTGCTAAGCTTATCTAAGCTTTAGAGAAGCTGCAGTTTTCCAAAACGGAGATCAACATAGTGTGATCATTTCCTGCGTTTACTGTTGTTTAAAGGATGCTAGGTGGTAGGGCAGGACGATAAACCGGTGTTCTGTCAGCTCAGCATACCGCATCAGGCCAGCATACCCATAATAATACACACGTGCACGCCTATTACTGCACAAAGTCACAACCGCATGGAAGAGCCATCAGATCACCATACCCTTCAAAAAACACCAAAAAGTAGTCATTAATTAGTTTTTTTTTTGGACACGAGTAAAAAGGATAGTTTAAAGTGTATTTATCGTAATAAGCTTAAGAGATACTCACGCGTTGAGGTAGCTTAAAGTTTATTTAGAGAAGGGTCTACTGCCATCTACTAAACGCGTCCCATACTAAACACACGTCCCGCCCCGCTAATGGATGATACTGATTTGGACATTACGTCATCTCGGATCCAGAGGCTTGGCAGAGAAGAAGGAAGATTAATTTATGTGAATCAAACATGAGCAAGATGCCTGCTAGTAACTTGGCCCATAAAAAAGTTAGAGTAATCTTGTTCAATGTTGGGATTAAAGGAGTAGATCATTCCATGATCAAATTGCTGTACTATTTTACCAAGTATTTTATTTTCTTATATCATATCATTTTCCAGGCATTTCTAAGTTAATTCAATAAAACAGCATGATTGGCTGTAAGGAGAGCGGAGACAGAGGACACTCTATGTCAGGGATGTCAAACTGGTTCCAGTAAGGGCCATGAGGCTGCAGGTTTTCTTTCCAACCAAGCAGTAGCACACCAGACACCAGTCATCTAATTAAGTGAGTTCAATCTGAACACAATGACTTGATGAGATGAATGGAGGTCTGGTGTGCTATTGCTTGGTTGGAAAGAAAACCTGCAGCCACACGGCCCTTTCTGGAACCAGTTTGAGACCCCTGCTCTATGTAATGCGTATTAATAAGGGTATTCTGGCCTGATGGGGTATGCTAGCATATGTGTTTTCAAATGTGTATGTGTTTTATCCACCTGGATCTCTGCTCTTTTTGGCCCTCATGTCCCTCCGTCGTCGGACTAAACTCGCCCCCACGTCCTCTCCGCCTCGGCCGTATCTAGACCCACAGTGTGTAGCACAGACCACGCTTCAATATTGAGCATATTTTAAAAATGTCTGTGTCAAGCTCACTGCAACACACTGCTGTAAGAGTATAACCAGGAAGCTAGGTAGGAGGGCAAAATAGGTTTAGCGCCACCGCAGCATGGGAGGAGAATTACGCCCAGGAGCAAATGGATAAAAATAGATCGGAGGGGGAAAAAAACATGAATCGATTCTCTTGCGGACGTGTCGATGCATCGGATCATCGGCTGTTGGGTCGATGAATCGATACAAAACGATTATTATTTACACCCCTACTACTTACTAATACTACACCAGATTTTAGCCGTTGCCGTCATTCACTATAATAACTGGTGACAATTTTCCCATGTCGGTAAAAGTAATGAACATAATTCTGCTTCATTATCGAGGTAAAACTGCCCAAATTATCATGATATTGATTTGAGGTCATATCACCCAGCCCTACTAGGTGGTCCGTAAGCTGGATCATTCTCTAAGGAATAATCACAGACGATTTAGACTAATTTAAATAAAAGGCTATTAAGGTCTGATTTTGGCAAATCATTTAATAAAATATAATCCTGGCAAGTAATGTATTTTTACCGGCGCTGTGAATTGTTATGAACACATTCCAGTTGCTCTAAATACGTTAGCAGCTAATTTGACCACATTTCAAACTCGTCGAGATAAACTTTGGTTCTCAAACATAAAATCCTGGCCTATGATGTCATCAAATAATGTTATTGATCATGGTTCTGAACCCTTTTCAATTCTTCTTCTTTGTGTAAACAGTAGCTAATTAGTTTATTCGAGTTTCATTTGTTTAGTCAAACTTTTTTTCAACCAAAATATGTTTGACTTGAAGTTGAATCATTTTTGTTAAATAACAATTTAATTTTATAAGGGAGTTGTTGTGAATGTATTCTATATACACTATATTGCCAAAAGTATTTGCTCACCTGCCTTGACTCACATATGAGCTTAAGTGACATCCCGTTCCTAATCCATAGGGTTCAATATGACGTCGGTCCACCCTTTGCAGCTAGAACAGCTTCAACTCTTCTGGGAAGGCTGTCCACAAGGTTTAGGAGTGTGTTTATGGGAATTTTTGACCATTCTTCCAGAAGCGCATTTGTGAGGTCGCACACTGATGTTGGACGAGAAGGCCTGGCTCTCAGTCTCCGCTCTAATTCATCCCAAAGGTGTTCTATCGGGTTGAGGTCAGGACTCTGTGCAGGCCAGTCAAGTTCATCCACACCAGACTCTGTCATCCATGTCTTTATGGACCTTGCTTTGTGCACTGGTGCACAGTCATGTTGGAAGAGGAAGGGGCCAGCTCCAAACTGTTCCCACAAAGTTGGGAGCATGGAATTGTCCAAAATGTCTTGGTATGCTGAAGCATTCAGAGTTCCTTTCACTGGAACTAAGGGGCCAAGCCCAGCTCCTGAAAAACAACCCCACACCATAATCCCCCCTCCACCAAACTTTACACTTGGCACAATGCAGTCAGACAAGTACCGTTCTCCTGGCAACCGCCAAACCCAGACCCGTCCATCAGATTGCCAGATGGAGAAGCGCGATTCGTCACTCCAGAGAACGCGTCTCCACTGCTCTAGAGTCCAGTGGCGGCGTGCTTTACACCACCGCATCCGACGCTTTGCATTGCACTTGGTGATGTATGGCTTGGATGCAGCTGCTCGACCATGGAAACCCATTCCATGAAGCTCTCTGCGCACTGTTCTTGAGCTAATCTGAAGGCCACATGAAGTTTGGAGGTCTGTAGTGATTGACTCTGCAGAAAGTTGGCGACCTCTTCGCACTATGCGCTTCAGCATCCGCTGACCCCGCTCCGTCAGTTTACGTGGCCTACCACTTCGTGGCTGAGTTGCTGTCGTTCCCAAACACTTCCATTTTCTTATAATACAGCTGACAGTTGACTGTGGAATATTTAGGAGCGAGGAAATTTCACGACTGGATTTGTTGCACAGGTGGCATCCTATCACAGTTCCACGCTGGAATTCACTGAGCTCCTGAGAGCGACCCATTCTTTCACAAATGTTTGTAAAAACAGTCTGCATGCCTAGGTGCTTGAATTTATACACCTGTGGCCATGGAAGTGATTGGAACACCTGATTCCAATAATTTGGATGGGTGAGCAAATACTTTTGGCAATATAGTGTATGTGCTATTTGAAAATGATTGGGGCAACAATCTGAAAGTAAAAGGCTAATTAGGTTTGGCAAAATGTAACAATGTATATTCACAGAGGCTTTTAATCCAATTTGAATTTCAGTGATTTTTGCATAGAGAAATGAGAAATATTTCAGTGACTAAAGGTACGAAGCTTACAGATGCCAGTAAGACTTGCAGGAATAAACAGTGACAAAAGGTTAATCAACCGTACTGAAGCATAAAGGAGCTGAAACGCATTAAAACCTTTGAAGCCTTGGATTCTCCTTCCGCTTCACAATGAAATGCTAAAATACAAACTCTAAATGTTACCTTCAAGTCTCTGTGCATGATTCCTCTGGAGTGAATGTATGCCACCCCTTCCAGAATGTTCCTGAGCAAGTTCAGTGTGTGTTCAGCATCAACACAAGCATAAGGAGCTGCAGAAACCACAAGAGGGAGACGTTTAGGTTTCAGAGCGGGACTGAAAGTCAGCAATTCATTTCATTTCACAGACAACCATTTGTATATTGTTACAAATAATGACTAATCTATAAACAATTTAAGAGGAATACAGTCAGAGAGCTGGTCCTCTTTGGGCCTGAAGTTCCTCTCATTGATCCAGTCCTTTAGTGAGCGCTCACACAGCTGCATCTGAATGTAGAGCATCAGGTGGATCTGAACCTGAGCACATCGGGAGGAACCAAGAAGAAAACGATACAGATTTTTACTGTACATTACATTTTTTTCTTTGGTATATTAAATGAAATTGAGAGAGTTAAGGCACCTACATCTTTAGAGGGTTTCCTTGAGTGTATTTCAGCGCACTGTTGATGCTCCCTTTCAGTGCAGGAGTTATTGTTCTGTTCAATGCTGCTCCTACTGGCCTCCTCGCCTAACACTGCCGACTGGTCGTGACTCATGGCGGGACATTTGGAGCCATTTCTGGGCTCTTCCTGTTCAAGGAAGACGCAGGGAACATAATCCTGCATACGATTCTTCTCCTTGGGACACATAATCTTGCAGTCTGGTCTGGAAACTAAAGACTGGCTCTCTGATGGAAGTACATTTGCACTATCTGCTTGACTTTGGCTTTGGAAAACCACAGAAAAGCTGTTGCCACTGTTGTCGGCGCTTTCATCCGAACTGTGAATTAGAGAGTTAAGACGTAAAGTATAACTGATATTTTTGCTGTTCTGTTCACATACAGGGGAATGCAATAAAAAGGCTATTGTGAAAGTTTAGCTAATGACTCTTGCCGTACCCATCTTTTTCTCCAGGGGATTCCAGAGCAGGAAGGTGCAAGTCAGGATCTGCAGCAAACCAAACTTTTGTACAGATTTTTTTTGAGAAATTTTCCTTTTGAAGACATTTTGCTTCAGGATAGCAGATAAATACTCACAGTCTGTTGGCTGAACATGTTCCATCCATGCTGTGTGATATCCCACAATGTTTACATGTTGCAAGCTGGATAACATTTTGACTTCCCTAAGAACCTAAAATAAACACAATTACCTGTCAGCTGGAAAGTCAGCAATAGATCTTTGGCAAATATTAACCTTGTATTTCTATAAAAACAAAAAAAATGAAAATGCATTTTCGTTTCCCTTTTTTCTTTCACTGAATATTCAAAAAACAAACAAAAAAAACAAAACAGAGGGACAACAAGCTTCCAACTTTCCAACTAACCCTGATTAATTCAGAGTCCATACTTTCCTATGCTTTTGTCAAGAAGATTCTTAGTAGAGTCTGGAGACACCATGGAGAGCAATCTGCTGCCTCCAAAATCCTTCAGCATGACTGGTTTAGCAGTGGGTCAGTAATGGTGTGGGGTGGCATTTGTCTGGTGGGCCGCAGATCCCCCCATATGCTTGCCAGGGGTAGCGTGACTGCCATTAGCTAACAAGATGAGACCCTCAGACCCCTTGTGAGACCCTATGCTGGTACAGTTAGCCCTGGATTCCTCCTAATGTAGAACATTGTAAGACCTCATGTGTCTGGAGTCTGTCAGCAGTTCCTGCAAGATGAAGGCATTGAAGTATGGACTGGCCCAACGTTCCCCATACATCATGTCTTGATCCATCCACCAATGTCACTTTGCACCACAGACTGTCCAGGAGTCGGCGGATGCTTTAGTCCAGTTCTAGGAGGAGACATCTGCCACCTCATCAGGAGCATGACCAGGCATGGTGGGGAGATCATACAGGCACATAGAGGCTATATTCAATACAGAGCCTCATTTTGTCACGTTTTAAGGACATAAAATCAAAGTTTGTTTTTCCACGTATGTTGTGTGTGACTCCAAATCCAGGCTTCCATTGGTTAAAACATGTGATTTCTACTGATAATTTTTTGTGATTTTGTTATTGGCACATTCAGCATTCACAGAGAATATTAAATTCAGATCTAGGATGTTATTTGAGCGTTCCCTTTATTATTTTGAGCAGTGTATTATTACTGAGGACCCAAACCTCAGGACTTCTGGCTCAAATTTACTCTGCATACCCAGAACCAGATCAAACATGGAGAAGCAGCAATCAGTTCTTAAATGTCACCAATCTGAAATAAACTCCCTGAAACTGAAACCCTTAGTCTCTACTAATTAAGATAATAAAAAATAAAATTCAACTTTATTGATCTCACACTGGAGAAATTTACCCCTGCATTTAACCCCTCCCCTTGGGGGGCAGTGGGCTGCCATACTGGGGCGCCCTGGGAGCAGTGTGGGGTTATGGGTCTTGCTCAGACACCCAGAGTAGCAGTCCGTGGGAGTGGGGTTGGAACTCAGAACCTCAGGATTCCAAGCTCTATGCCCTACCCAGTAGCCTGCCACTGCCCCAAGATTAAAAACATATTTGTTTAAAAGCTTTTGAATGAGCGGTCTAAACATTATGAGTCGTCAGTTCAAGTTTTCTTTCCTTTCTACTTAATCATTAAACTTTTCTTTAATACAGTCTACTTATTTTAATTCACTTGTTTTCCCCTCTTGAATTAGTTTTGTTGCCTCTATACCACTGCAATCTACTTTTTGTTCTCTCATGTACAGCACTTTGAACTGTCTTGCCACTAAAATATGCTGTAAACTTTCCCTGCCTTGAGATGGGATCGTTGTAAAGTGCTGCTTTATAAATAAAGTGAATTAAACTGACAGAGATAGTTCATTTCTGTCAGGTAAATAGAAAATATGCATGCCTTTTAGAAGATTTACATTAAAACAATTAGAGAAATTGCTATAATAAGGCAGCTGGTAAATAGTTTTTTTCAAATAGAAACTGGATTTTTGCTCATCCAGTCAGATTTGATGGAGTGTTTTTAACACCACGTTTGATTTCCTGCCACAGATTCCTGATGGTATTTAGGTTTAAGATATTACTTCATCATTGTAATATATGAATAAACTTAGATCCAATCCATTACATTGGAGCTCTGGCTATACAGCTACATCAGGCTCCACCTCACTTTTAAAGTCGTAGGGAAGCGGCTGTTCCAACCGTTGCATTTCCAAATTCTCCTGATTGGTGCCCGACTTACAAGAGTGAATAAAGTGAATGTTATTGGTCGTTTATCAAGGGGGCGGGATTGTTGTGGTGGAAGGTTCCCAAGCTATTTGGTTGTGGCCGGTTTGTCAGCAGCATCTTGCTAAACAGTTAGCAACTTAGTGCTGGTAGGTTCTCAATGGAAAATTCCATTGGGACCAAGTAGCACTTAGCAACGACACTGTCAAGGAACGCTATGGACAGAGGAAACATGCAAGAGGAGGAGAGTTTAGTGTCGGAGGTCTTGAATGAGTCTCCTTCATCGTACATGTTTTATTTAGAGGAGGAAAGCGGGGACGAAGATGTTGTGGAAGAGGACGCCAGGGTTGAAGAAGCTTGGTTTGGTGTAGAAGGCTTACAGCCGTACATGTTTGAGCCCTTGCCTCGCAACGCTGCCAGTTCTGTTAGCTCTACGCCTGCTGAAGACACAGACGTCCATCCCCGTGAACACTGGGACGCAACTCAATGGGAAAGGAGATTATTTTTATTTCTTATTTCAACCCTTGCGTTTTTTAGCTGCGACATAGGAATCAAGATGCTATGGCTGACAAAATTTGATTGACAGATGACTGTTGATATATGATTTGCTGAAAAAAAGCTGACGTATATCTAACTGGCCTGCATAAGATAACGAAAAAACCCACAGATTTTAAGACAGGATTATTTTAAAAATAGAAATTTTCTAACTTTTAGGACAATCTGATAGGTCTGATAAACAGTACATTTATATACATGTTTGAGCCACATTTAAATATGACTTTCCCAGGATTTTACCAGACTAACAGGACTGAACAGAAAAAAAAAACATTTCCTATAAACTCTAACAAGTTTTAATTTCCTCCCTGCTAAAATAAAGCAAAGTATTTGTGTAAAATTTCATTAAAAATAATCTGTTCCTCCAATGTAACAACTATTCCCAACTCTGTTTGGTCAAATACATAAACCCCAATAAATGACACTAAACTTTGTTGGTGTAGAGTTAAAACATGTTTAAAGGTTTGATGATAATGAACAATTAATCAGCGCATAGAGAGTTTTTATGCGTAATAAACCTTAAATCATTGTCCCAGCAGGCAGTATGGTCTGTAGTCTTTTGGTTATAGAGAATAATGTGGAATCTAACCTTCATGCAATCCTCCTTTGAGACTCTCTTAATCAGAATCTTCTTCACAGCATAAAACTGACCATCCAGTTTGTTCACAACCTACAAAATGGTGTTAAAGAAAAAAACATTTGGAACAAATAAATTACATTTTGAACATGACACAAGTTCCAACATTAGTTAGAAAAATAATAATAAAACAGAAAAATGTGTTACCTTAAAAACATTTCCATAGGAACCTTTTCCAAGCAGACAGATTTCATCAAACTCACTGAGATACCGAGATGTCTGAGCCTGGAAGAGTCCCTCTTTTGACCTGTGACCAAATCAGTCATTTTAAATATGCAAAACATATTAGAAAAAAAAAAAAGATTACTCTTAACTACACGTTACCTTACAGCTGGATTGTGTGTATTTGTGCCAAGACGTTGCTGGCCCTGCAAACAAATTAAAAGTTACAAAAGTTACAAACAATAAGATTTTTCATTCACCCACAATATCAAACTACATCATAACATTCCCCGACATACTAGCAGGCATAATTGCAGAAAAGGGAGACAAAACAAAAAAGAATAATAAATCAATCAGTAAATGAATTGCCTGATGTGCTTAACAAGAAATGGAAGAAAAATGTCTTTTTTTTTCCAGTTTATTTTTCAAATTATTATTTTTTTTTTTTCAAATTTCTCTTGTTCAGATGAATTACAGATATTTCAAATAGTGTTTTATTGATCTCATTCTCCTGACTTCTAGGGAAAGTTTGCATTGGGCCTAAAGTGAAGAGAAAACGATCTATAAAACTCAATTTGAAAAGAATGCAACTTATAAAACTCAATGTGAAAAAGGGAAATTTGAGCAGACATTAGTAGAAATATAGTAGCAGTGAAAAAATATACAATTTAAGGAATTTAAAACAATAATAAATTAAAAATAATGATTAAGAAGTTATTTCAAGTTTCGTTCTTAGATTATGTGTTTTTTCAAATGTCAATTTTCAAAACATGTTCTTTGCTATACAATAATAACAATAATGTAAGAAATTCACTGTGGTTTTAATCAGGCAAAATGCGAGAGATGCGCGGAGTACGCTAAGAAACTAACGAGTAGGTCGTTACCTGTCGAAAGAGCGAGGAACTTGCAGCACTGAGTAACTCAGTGAAAGCTCGGTTATGCTGGAGTCTAATGGTGCTGAATTCATCACTTATGGCCAAAGGGGAGACAAGGTTCATGGCTGCCAAACGGTTGCCAATGGCTGTTAGAAATAAAAAAGGAGAACTTAGAAGTATGATAGGAGTACATTTCAATGAAGAATAGCAGAAAAACGGGGGATTTAAAGCATCCACCTTTAAACAGCCTACGTGAACGGGAAGGATTGCTCTCATAGACGAAGCACAGGTGCTCCAGCAGGGAGCCAATGAGGAGGTGGTTGGGGATTGCTGAAGCAAACTCTTGGATGGTTGAGTACTGCCTTCCAGCCATCAGTAGCTCATGGTTACTTTCTGAATCTGAAGCTGAGCAAAACACAAAGCAAAGAAACAAAACCAGCTCATTGTCTCATAAAAAGGGAAGCAAACAAAAACACAACTGTTTGGTGATCATATGGAAGACAGCATGATAAAAATAAAGAGAATATTTAAGTTTAGCCACATACCTTCTTCAATTACTTTTGCTATCATTTCTACTATGTTTTTCTCTTCTAGGTCCATGACTCAGAATGGAAAGCCTTCTGGCAGAATACTGCGCACTCCACGCTTTAATAATGATTATTCCCTTCCACCGGTCCATATAATGAACTCATCTTACTTTTACATACAGGAGTGTACCCAGCATTCATGCTTATCTGCTATGTCCAGTAGAGGCCAACCCACCCTCACTGCAACATAACACACACACACACACACACACACACACGGGTGATTGGAGATGTTTAGTGTGCCAAAACAGGAAGGAGGGGCCTGAGCGTTTGCTCGCCATGATGCAAGGTGTGTGGTTGATATAAACTACTAAAAAACCTTGCTTTAAGTACTAAAGACTGAATACAAGCCCTCTTTATAAATGTAATCTTAAAATAAAACAGTCTAAACACATTATTGGTAGCAAACAAAGCATATTGAGTTCTTTAAAAATAGGTTAAAAAACAATTATTTTTTTATAAAGCTGTTCTTACAGGTTAAGTATTTTTTGGAGGAAGTGCTCAAACAACTGAATTTATTTTCTGGTTTAGAATCACGCAGATAAAGTAGAAAAAAAAGAAAAAAAAGTAGAGACTGTACTAGTATTAAGAGGTAAAACTATGCGGATATAAATACCGGTAAGTATCAAATGCACAGGACTGATTTGACTAATCCTGATTAATCTATTGTTGAAATAATCGTCAACTAATTGCTGTAAATAACCGTTTGTTAGCTACAGTAAAGGGACAGAGGATCTAAGGCATGTCTGAAAGAATAACCCATTTGCAGCAGTATTAAACAAAACTCTACAAAAAAACTTTTACTACTCAAGATTAAATATTTTCCTTCCATATATACTAATGAGACCTGTGTCCTTTTTGATCACGTAAATGGAGAAATAAAAAGCAACGTGAACTTCAAAAATCGTCCCCAAGAAATAAACAGCACATATCAGGTTAGAGGAACATCTAAATAATTAGCATCAGTGAACCTGTATTGATTAATCTGTAATAAAAATAGTTCAAAACTGATAGAGATGTTGATATTTGCTCTAAAAGTAGAACATTTTTAGGTATACAGTAACCTTATCTAAGAATGGCAGCAATATAAACATTTTATCAGGCTTGTTTAGAACATTGATGCAAGGCCTGCTAGTAGGACATCATACGATGACGCTACTTTGTTCATTTGGGGGGAGCAGCCTGTCACTATCGGGGGGGAGGGGGGTCTTCATTCGGTTTGAGAATAGCTTTTTAAAGCCATTTCTATTTATATAGTTAAAACACATAAAACTTTAACGCAGCTAAAATGGAGAAGTTGTTGCTGATTCCTCTAAAGGAGGCTGAGGTTAGACATTCCAGCTAACTGGAGACTAATTCTATTTTCATTCTCTTGCTAGCTGTTCCATGTTTGCAGGCTGCTGCTCTTTCTGCCAACATACCATGTGCTCCTTCTAGGCAACCCTATGACTTGTCATAGGATTATCTCAGGAACCAGGAGGTAAACGCCAACTACACACTGCTATGAATTGGTTAAGGGACTGGTACAGTATTGGTGACACAGTCAAGACTACTGCACACCCAGCAACACCGACTTCCTCTGCGCTGGAGGCTTTATCTATTCTGATGCAAGCTACTAATCTATTTAATGATAGGCTGGCACCGGTTATTGAGTAGTAACAGCTGGCAAATGAGATGCCGGAGCCGGTAAGTGGCACCAATACTGCGCTGCACCTTTAGGTTTGAAAGGAGAAGAACATGGATAACGTTATTGATGGAGGAGAATGATTTTCCATAAGTAATGTTACTCCCATACTGGGTGATAAATGACAATTGTTTTGGTAAATTTTATAGTAAATTTTTCAGTGATTACTTCTCCAAGTAATAGCTAATATTTTACTACCCCATTGCAGAGTTTGTTTCTGCCATATATAATCATATCATGAGTATCCCAGAATGAATAGTAGACATTACTACTGACAAGGGCTGAAGCAATCGGATTAATCGTGGTAAATTGATTATTAAAATAATCGTCAACTAATTTATTAATCGATTAATCGTTAACTGGAGTATAGAGACTGTAAAACATGCCTTTAGCTGACAGAGCGAACCACTTAGAGCAGGAATTATACCAAAATTGGGGAAAAAATTTAAGATTAAAAAAAACTTTTTTTCCTGTCAATATTCTCTATCCAGAACTCCACAAGTCTAAAGGTTTTAGTTTCACCTGGTTTTATTCTGTATAAAATCTTCTTTAAGGGAGCTTTTACTATCCGATTTTTAACTGGTTTTATTTAAAAAATGATCAACAGATTAATAGATTATCAAAATAATGGTTAGTTGCAGCCCTACTACTGACTTTACAATTAATTAAACTTTATTGATCTCACATTGAAGAAATATACCTCTGCATTTAAACCATTTCCTTGGGGAGCAGTGGGCTGCCTCTGTGCAGGGCCCGGGGAGCAGTGTGGGGTTAAGGATCTTGCTCAGAGTCCCAGAGTGGCATTCTGTGGGGGTGGGGCTCGAACCCAGAACCTCAAGATTCCAAAACAAATTTTAGTAGTGAATGCCCTCTAACCCTTTAATCAACCCTTTTCTGAATAGCAGTTTTCATCTCTGAAATGGTAAATACATTTCGGAATATAAGGAACAGTTTATTATGTAAAGTTTTTCATGGCCCATCCCCTCAGTACATTTTATTTAGGCTTACGCTTGAAACTTGTGCTATTTTAACTAGAATAATTAATTGTTTTTAACGCTATGATGTCATCAACCATCTTCTGTGTAGCAGTTTGTTAGAGCACTTGCTTTTATATCTGACAAAGCTCACCAGGAAGGCCTTTTTTGACCTAGGATCCGCTCCCCAAATCAGTGCAGGTGGTGGAAGACAAAGAAACAAATGAAAAACAAAATCACTGATTTACAATATCTACCATCTCTTGAATGAACTTGTTGCAGAAATTGACAGGATATACAGTAACAGACTGCTGCATCCTAAGTGCACAAAGCAGCGTTACTGCAGATCCTTTCTCCCTGCAGCAGTTAAAACCATCAGTGCTCCTAACAACCTCTATAAGGGTTTATATCCATATGTTGACATATTTTTCCATTCTTGTAAATAGGAAGGTTTATTTTTCTTCCCCATAGATAAACTTATACGTTTTTGCTTTATTTTTTTAAACCTATCAATGGAGTTGCATATTTCTTTACATTTTAACACTTTTTACAATGACTGTACAACCCATTTACAAGAATGAAAAAATAGAATAAAAAATAGAGTACAGTAAGTTATTCTCTGTTTTTGCATGTGTTTATATCCTAGAATGTGTATTTACAATAAATTGATAACTTGCACCGTGCAAAGTCAAGAACTATTGGTTAAATCCACATCAGTTTAGATAGACATCTCCATAGGATCTAGAACTAATAGATTATAAACAGGTCGCAGTTGTCTCCATAAACGAGCAGCAGTTTATCTCGCGAGATCTTAGAAATGCTTCTATTGCCCTGAAAATAAGCAGGGTAAATGCAAGACACCTGCTCGTTGTACACGAAATTTATGATAATAACAAATCAAAACATAAAGCAAACCATCTTACTGTCAAATTGAACGTCTTCGTCCTCTTCGCTGGCCAAACTTAAAAGGCTAATGCTGCTGTCAGCCTGCTGTCTCCGGACAGCTGTTAGGTTGCAGTGAACCAACAGGTTGCTACAACTGCCAGAACATTCCTCCGATCTCATTGGACCGCTGTCCGGTGAACTGTACATTCTAAACGTAAATAACCATAAAATAAACTTAAAACATTTTTTCTAAAGCGCCACCAAATTCACATGAGCTAACCTCATGGTTTTCGCTAACTATAACGGGATAGTCGCTCTTGACACATCAACATGGCAAGAACTTGTCAGAAATGATAGCTTTGAGAAAAGTCCCTCACGTTCCGTATGAACTGTCGGCCATGTTGGAGTAACAGACGGCTTAAGGCACCGTCATACAAAGTGTGAACTATAAAAATAGACCAAACAGATTGTTCCTTTCCAATCATCCCACACAAAATAAACACATCCATAAAAACTGAGGTGGAAAATTAAATATATGGACATTATGTTTAAAAGGATAAGGTGAAACACTTTGGCTAACACAGATATATTCGTTTTTTTCGAAGCTACATGATTACAGATGAGCCCTAACGTCCCAGTGATGAAATTCAACAATGATTTCGGAAACATATTTAAAAAAGGGAAAGAAACCATTTATTTTCTGATTCATATGTTTGATAACTTTACATATGTTTTAATTTTTATTTTAGAGCTATGTATATACACATATTTATTTGTTTTTAGTAAAAGTAAGATGCGCAGTGTTGCGCATTAGTAATACTCACGAACAATGTAGTTAAACGGCGCGCGAGAGGTTCAGTTTTTTGTTTATCACGCAGGGAGGAAGAAATAAGTGAAAACAAACCTTTTTCATTCATCATGGCGAATAATCAGCCGGTGTTCCTGTCCGTTTAAAGTGAGATTTAGATCCGTGTGGAGAGCAGAGAACCAGTAGACACCCGCTGAAAGATGTCAGATGTTTGGTAAGACAGACCTTAGTTTTCCCTACCAGAAAACTCACTTATAACTTGGAGTTAATTTTTCATTTTGTGTTGTAGTCAAAACTGAAGTGCTCAGTTTTCAAGCGGAATTTATCGTTGCTGTATGAATGTTACATTAACTGCCTTTAAAAATATTAATTCCTTTAAATAACTGACAAATGGCAAATGTTTACATTCAAGCTCTTAATTAGATATAAAGCTGAGATTATCACTGGAGTTACTCATTCTAGTGTTTATGTCTCCACTTTCTGTTCATTTACATTGACATGTCTGCCATTATCTTTTTGCAAAATAGTTTAAACTGAGTCTGATCGAAAGGAAAGTCTGCACAACACAGGTAGAATAAATAAGAGGTTCACCGTTGGGATGTGGTTATAGTAAAATCAGAGGGGATTTACCATTAGGCAATACTAGGCAGTTGCCTAGGGCCCCAAGTTCCTGGGGGCCCCATAAAAGTCTGTTTACATGTATGGTTAATACAACTATTCCTTATCATGCAGCTATTATTTCATCCAAATGAAAAATGGAGAACAGAGAAGCAGATCATGGCTTGTCTACAGTGAAAAGAAGGACTGGGTTATTTACTTTGGCCTTTTAGGAAACACAGGAAGGAGCAATCAGCTAAGTGAGCTTAGTGCTTGGAAAAAATCTTTCATTCCTTTAGAGACAGCATGAAAAGTCAGCTGAGTACAAAACATAGAGAGGAAAACAAGAAGAAGAGAGGGACAAAAAACATAGAACAAATAATGGTTGTCTATTCTAGAAAAAATCTGTATCTGTATAATGGGTCTGTTTTATGTGTTGTCTTCTCAATTCAGAGGGGCCCTCTGCCTGTCTTTCCCTAGGGCCCCATATGTCCTTAGTCCGCCCTGAGTATAATATAATCCTGTAAAAGTGGTTAGTGACTGTTTGTTAAATCAATGTTTTCAACTATAACCGATGTCATTGTTGAATTAGCCACTATCTAAATCTGGCTCTGCATGCACATTTGTGCTGCTTCTATATTAAAAGTTAAGGAATCAATGTTGATGTATGTACATAAAAAAGTCATTAAATGTGTAAATAGGTGGTTGATGTAGATGTTTTTGTGATGACCATTTATGTGCAAATGATTAGGAATAATATTTACAGACAAGTAAGACAAAGTACACAGAAAGGTAAAACTCACTGTCTTCAACGTATGGAGTTTCATTTAAAACATGATAAGCCCGGTCAATGATAAAATACTCTCCCACAGAGCTTATAGTGGCGGAGATGAGGATGAGGTACATTGCAAACGGCATAGATTGGTTTAATATTGGTTAGATGCTGCCATTTCAATCATTAGGATTCAACCACAAAATGTTGATTCAGGGACATCATTTCAATGCTTTGTCTAAAGTTTGATGATTGCTTGATGGCTGCCCCACCATCAGTCATCTAATATTAACCAAAACTGAGTCTTTTTGACCACAATTCAACATTGAATGAACAGCTGTTGCTCTCTGGGACACCACATTTCAACAGACCGTCAATTAGATTTACATCAATAGTTCCAAAAAGTTAAAAAACAATCCACTGGACTTTGTTTCCAAGTTTGAAGACATTTCACTTTCCATCCAGGAAGCTTTTTTTTAAATAAAAAAATAGATTTTGATTGATTGGACTGGGCCGCACTGCACAGAATTCAGCTTTAATCACCACCCTATTGTAACTCTAGGTAAATGTAATGCTATTGTTAAGGTGAACTCTCTCCCTCTTGTCTTTTTATCTTTTCAGCACCTCTGAGTCTGCTGGGGCTATAAAGGCCATTGACCGTCACTCAGTCCATCAGATCTGCTCAGGACAAGTAGTTCTGAGTTTGGCCACAGCTGTCAAAGAGTTGGTGGAGAACAGCATAGATGCAGGAGCCACCAATGTTGGTAAGGAAAGCACACAGCACAGTCCGTCTGAAACATAAAACCGTTTGTTGCTAATTTTACAGCCCGGGGAAATATAAGATATAAGGTATAGCTCACCATGTAGTTAGAGGTTTTATGTTTCAGCTTTTCAGCCTACACTTTACATTCATATAAATCATTCTCAGAAATATTTGACTGAATTAAATGCTAATTAAATTATTATTAATATACTGCTTTCCTCTATAACATCCCATGCATCGTTCCAGAGGTCAAGCTGAAGGAGTGTGGCGCTGAACAAATCGAAGTATCAGACAACGGCAGAGGGGTTGAAGAAGCAAACTTTGAAGGACTGAGTACGTAGGATCTGCTTATTTTCTGGGTAGTTAGGAACAATCAGGAAAAGTATGGAGTTCAGTCCTACTATTATTGAAGTAGCAATAAGTGAGGGCTGGACAATATTTATATATCGCAATGTAATTTCATTCATTATTAGTGATATGACTGTGAAAGCTTTCTCTGATATTTATGTCTACATTACAGTCTATGGATACAGCATTCATCACCAAGTGACATTCAGGGTTTTATGTAGTTTTATGTGTTTTTGCTTTTTAAAGCAACAATTTCTAAAATTATATGTTAGAGTTTTATAAGCATGGTAAAATAATTATAAGTTTGTACAGGCATTCTTGGCAGTCCTTCTGATGCTTTTATTTTGCAATATTTACTTCAAAATTCAATCTTATCGAACTAAATGGAACCGTAAGTTTTTGCCATATTGTCCTCTACAATTAGTATGAAAAAATATAGGTGGTTTCTGGTGTTTTTCCTTCACCTACTGTCTAAATGTTCTATCCATCCATCATCCAATCACTCATCCATCCAATCATTCATTCATTAATTTATCATCTATCTATCCATCCATCCATCCATCCATCCATCCATCCATCCATCCATTAATACCAGCCCACCATAAACTTAAGTCTGAACTCTGGACATGTCTGTTTAGAAGATGAGCAGATGTTGGTGCCTTAAATGCGTATGAACCCTGTAAACCTGAGGTTTCTCATTCTGTCTGTCCCGCAGCTCTAAAGCATCACACATCAAAGCTGAGAGATTTCTCCGATCTGATCCATGTGGAAACATTTGGCTTTCGAGGTGAAGCCCTGAGCTCTCTGTGTGCACTAAGGTAAAGTCTTCACTGCTCACATTTACTTTGTTCATGAAGCTGGCAGTAACTGTCCGTTTGTTGGTTATTCTTTTTCCCACCTTCGTACTGCAGTGACCTGAGTGTGATTACATGCCATCAGTCCAGCCAAGTAGGCACCAAACTGGTGTTTGACCACAAAGGCCATCTTGTGCAGCAGTCGCCCTGTCCCAGGCAGCCAGGCACCACCGTCACTCTGCAGCAGCTCTTCTACACTCTGCCTGTTAGACACAAGGAGTTCCAGCGTAACATCAAGAAGGTCAGCAGCCAAACCATCCTGACGGATTTTAGACATACTGATGGGATCAGTGTGTGAAATACTGGAGATTTTACATATTAAAACCCTTTAACTGTTTCCTTTTTCTAATTTACTGGAGGAACATTTCTTATTTTGTCTGCTCTTAAAGTACATATGTTAAATCCATCATCAATATTGTGGTAAATTTAGATTTCAGCAGGTTATTTAGCTCAGTAAGAAAGGTTCTTAAAAGTTGCAGAATATTCTGTATCTTGCTTCCCTTCTCAAATATATTTATGCCATGGCATCATCTGGTGTATGACAGCAGATGAGGGAAAACATCCAAACTAAATAAATCTAAATCATACAATGAAAAAAACATTTGATCTGTAATAAAAGCAAAGCACTTTTTATTATCCTGTGGACATTTGCTGCTAAAACAGAAGTGAAAGTATATATGGAGGGAATTTAGTTCCGTTATTTATGTGCGAAAAGAAATTTTTATAAGTAACAAAAAAAGAAAAGAAAACCAGAAATGAAATCTTTTCAGATTTCTTAATCACAGATCAACAATGACTACTCTTCTTCTGCATTTCATAGGTATGCACCTGTATCAACCTCATACATTATCTAATTGAAGAAGTTTTTTTGGTTTAAACAACCTTTTTAGGAATTAGAGACAAACTCAGACTTTTCTTAAAGAAGAAGTCCGGTCAGCAAGGAATGATCAATGGATCATTATCTTTAACTAGAACTAATACCTTCGAGGTGATTTAATGAATTTAGCGTTAATCAGTAAAAAAATAAAAAATATATTTTTCATCGTGATCACTGAGTCTGGGATCGGCATTTTAGCCCAGATATAGTAACCCCTCCCTCCTGACATCTTCCAGCAGTGACGTCACGGTGCGGTAAGCCTAGCGCCATTCTCCCCGCTTTACAAGCTAAATCAATGGGAACTACTAGACACATCTGCAATCAACAAGAATTATTGAAGATTTCCAGAGGACTTCACCATTGAAATTCACCAGAGCTATAGTGAAACTGACAATGCCCACGTGCATGGCAGCTGGATGCTGGAATACATCGGGTAAAAGTGAAAAAAAGAGTTATTCCACCTTTCTGATTCCTGATCCTCCACGGACGGGTTGGTCGTTGGATCGCCAACTTGAAGAGGGAGGATTTGCCATCGAACTTCTGGCCAGAGAAAAAACCCGTAATATGTAGCCAACATTTGGAAGAAGAATGTTTTCAAGATGACTTGGATAATAGCGCGTTGTGACAAACACCAGATACAGCACTGGGACTTGATCAACAGCCGATACCGCACCGTGAAACACAAACCAGTAGGTGGCAGTAGTGTTCTTTGACAAACATGGATGCCTCCAGTAAAGAATAATTTCCTATTTAAAGTACTTTCAGAAGTTTGACTCGGAATATGAGTGGACTTTTCCTTTAATGTCGGATAGGGATGTGGGAAAAAATTTATTTGGCAGAATATCGTGATTTTCAGGTGCCCCGATGAAGAAAAAAATATATATATTTTTTTTACCTAAAACAATGAGGGAAAATGGGCTAGCTCTGCACCGCCACTCTGGCAGATAGCGCCATGGAGCCCTTTTGCTGTGCAGTGAAGCACCATATCTGTAGTCTAAGCAGTCACAGTGGAAGACGTGGACTGACTCAAACCCCAAACAGGATGGATTCTGCTGAACATATTCGACTTAGACAGATTTATTTTGTCATTTTGTATAAACAAGTGTAAACAAAAAGAAATTTTGTTCAGAACAGCACTCTAAAGCATCTCATTCTTCAAGTGCAGCCTTGACAAGGCAATCAGCAGCGATAAAAAAAGAAAAAAAAAAAAAAAAGAAAAAACACAGTGACATTAAGTCACTATATCTAGTTGAGGAATGCACATCATTCATGTTTGCTTGGCAGCAGTGATGTCAGACGGATCTGGATAGGATCTTAGCACCCAAATGGGATTTTTACCCTACCGGTATATACTCTTTCTTTTTTTATCTACACATTTAATTTAATGTCTGGGAAATGTATTGCAAGATATGGTGATATTGCAATATCATGATAATATTGTTCTGTGTCCCAAGTGTCATGACTCCGTTCGTATCGCAACACACATGCCAATACTCACCCCTAATGTTGAACCAGACCCTTTAAACTCTTTGCTGTTTAACTGCTGCTGAAAACGTACCCAGCTGCGTTTTTCTCTCATTTTAAACATGTTGCTGCTGCTTCTTCAGGAGTACGCCAAAATGATCCACGTCCTGCAGGCCTACTGCATCATCTCCACAGGAGTGCGTATCACCTGCTCAAACCAAAATGGGCAGGGGAAGCGTAGCACTGTCCTCAGCACCAGCGCCAGCCAAAGTATGAGAGATAACATCGGCGCCATATTCGGACCAAAGCAGGTTCTGATTCGTTTATGGTTCTTTTATTTTATGGCAGCAGCATCAAAATATTCTGCAGAAATCTGGGTCTCTGATTTAAATTCTTTGCTCTGCAGCTTCAGAGTCTTCTTCCTTTCCACCAAGTATCTGCTGCAGAGAACATTCTGGAGGAATACGGACTTAAAGCCGGAGATTTACCCACACCGACTTTTTCGTGAGTGGGATCGCTGCATTAATTAAGTGATAATATTCTTTTAATTGGTCCGGGCTTCAAATTCCAATGCTTTGGGCAGAATCACAGGCTTCGTGTCTGCCGGGGACCACGGCGTTGGGCGGAGCGTCTCAGACAGGCAGTTCTTCTTCATCAACAGCCGCCCATGTGACCCCATTAAGGTGATTTCTGTTGAATGTATTAAACCGTGTTTGTTCATGTTTGTCTTTCATCTTATCCCCCTTTTTTTTACTTTGTAGGTCAGCAAACTTGTGAATGAAGTCTACCACATGTATAACAGACATCAGTATCCATTTGTTGCTCTCAACATAGCTGTGGCCTCAGGTGAGAAAAGAAACCAAACAAGAAGAGGTTATTAATGGCTAGTTTAATTGGTTATATTGCAATGTGTGAGTTTGCATGGACTTTTACATTTTCCCAAATCAGTTTAGTTCATTTTATAAGATATGATTTGTTGAACCCTGGAGATTTTCTGTTTTAGCCTCATTAAATGGCAGACTTCAAGTGCCATCACTTATCATTTTAACAAATGTGTGAAAATATAAAGCGATACTATTTTTTTTTTTGTATTTTTCACTTGTCTGTGCCTTTCATGGGTGCTGCCATCTTGTACCAACTGCACCCCAGACACAGATATGCAAGGCAAAGATCCATGGCGTTAGACCTAAACAGGCCAGGGACACAGTTGCCAAAATAAACCATATGTTAGCAAAGAGACTTCCTTGTTCAGAATTAGCAACCATTAGCAACCCATCATACAATCCAAGTATGTGAGAAGAAGAAGCAGTTTATCAGCTCAGGATGACTCTACTGTCATTGTGAGGGGAAGGTATGTTTACACACTCTTACAGTTCATATGTCACTTCTGGAAGTTTGGTTCAGTTATTATATACACAGACTTTTTACACGTGTGTGTCTTTGTAAATATAACACTTGTTTTGTCTTCTCTAAATACATCCAATTATACTACTTGAGATTACTCTCCTAAAACTGATGATTTATGCCTTTATCGGAGTTGCTCATACATTCGTCTCTGACTACGTACTAAGTCCTTTAATACTAAGTCCTTTAATAGATGCTCTCTATTAAAGGGGGAGGGCACAATGAACTGGATTTCTGTTTATATACACTACCGTTCAAAAGTTTGGGGTCAAATTGAAATGTCCTTATTATTTAAGGAAAAGCGCTGTACTTTTCAATGAAAATAACTTTAAACTAGTCTTAACTTTAAAGAAATACACTCTACACATTGATAATGTGGTAAATGACTATTCTAGCTGCAAATGTCTGGTTTTTGGTGCAATATCTACATAGGTGTATAGAGGCCCATTTCCAGCAATTATCACTCCAGTGTTCTAATGGAACAATGGGTTTGCTCATTGGCTCAGAAGACTAATTGATGATTAGAAAACCCTTGTGCAATCATGTTCATCTGAAAACAGTTTAGCTCGTTACAGAAGCTACAAAACTGACCTTCCTTTGAGCAGATTGAGTTTCTGGAGCATCACATTTGTGGGGTCAATTAAACGCTCAAAATGGCCAGAAAAAGAGAACTTTCATCTGAAACTCGACAGTCTATTCTTGTTCTTAGAAATAAAGGCTATTCCATGAGAGAAATTGCCAAGAAATTGAAGATTTCCTACAACGGTGTGTACTACTCCCTTCAGAGGACAGCACAAACAGGCTCTAAGCAGAGTAGAAAAAGAAGTAGGAGGCCGCGTTACACAACTGAGCAAGAAGATAAGTACATCAGTCTCTAGTTTGAGAAACAGACGCCTCACAGGTCCCCAACTGGCATCTTCATTAAATAGTACCCGCAAAACACCAGTGTCAACATCTACAGTGAAGAGGCAGCTGCAGGATTCTGGGCTTCAGGACAGAGTGGCAAAGAAAAAGCCATATCTGAGACTGGCTAATAAAAGAAAAAGATTAAGATGGGCAAAAGAACACAGACATTGGACAGAGGAAGACTGGAAAAAAGTGTTGTGGACGGATTCATCCAGTTTGAGGTGTTTGAATCACAAAGAAGAATGTTTGTGAGATGCAGAACAAATAAAAAGATGCTGGAAGAATGCCTGACGCCATCTGTTAAGCATGGTGGAGGTAATGTGATGGTCAGGGGTTGCTTTGGTGCTGGTAAGGTGGGAGATTTGTACAGGGTAAAAGGGATTCTGAATAAGGAAGGCTATCACTCCATTTTGCAACGCCATGCCATACCCAGTGGACAGTGCTTGATTGGAACCAATTTCATCCTACAACAGGACAATGACCCTAAACACACCTCCAAATTGTGCAAGAACTATTTAGAGCAGAAGCAGGCAGCTGGTATTCTATCGGTAATGGAGTGGCCAGCGCAGTCACCAGATCTGAACCCCATTGAGCTGTTGTGGGCGCAGCTTGACCTTATGGTACGCAAGAAGTGCCCATCCAACCAATCCAACTAGAATTGGAAGCGTGGGGTGCAATTTCTCCAGATTACCTCAACAAATTAACAGCTAGAATGCCAAAGGTCTGCAATTCTGGAATTGCTGCAAATGGAGGATTCTTTGACGAAAGCAAAGTTTGATGTTTTTGATGTTTTTATTATCATTTTATATTTCATAGGACATAAAGGGAATTTCCTCCATCCTATGAATTGCAGTTGACTTTATGGATTAAGTGTGAGACTTTCGTGACTATTGATATATCAATGTCTTCAAATCTCATGTTAAAGTGATCCTTCAAATTGCAGTAAAATGTTTGAATACAACTAGAAAGTGATGAATTAAAATCACACTACAGACTTTTCACCATGGTGCCAAAGTGTCTTTATTAGTTTTAAAGGGGAAACCCAAGGATCAGATTGTAAAAATGTTCAACATGATGTCCTGTTGAAATTTAAATCCTATCATCCCCACTGACTTAGTCTGCTTCACAGGAAATGATGCAAATCGATCCAGCACCAGGATAGGGCCAAGAGAACTGGCCCTAACACTGAACCTGGTGGTTCTCCAGAAGTAATCAGAGTTTGTGAATTTCTTATGAACATGAATAAACTGGAGTATCACAGATAAATGGTATTCATCAACCACAGCTGATTTCTTTTTAGGGCATTAAAACATGTTAAATTGACTGTAGTGTAAGTTGGAGGAGGGGTACTTTCTGTATATATCGATTTTTTTTTTTTTTTTTGTTCCTTATTCTTATCTCTAAACGTTCCATCTGTCTGTCCACTTATCCATCCAGTCTGTTTTTGTTGTTGCTTTTTTCCAGACTGTGTGGATGTGAATGTAACCCCTGATAAACGACAAATCTTCCTTCAAGAGGAGAAACTCCTACTTGCCATCCTAAAGACTTCCCTCATCGCTATGTATGAAGCTGGAGTTAATAAGATCAGTCTGAACTGTGCACCAACTCAGAGTGAGAAGACATTTTACATTATTCTCTTATTTAATTTATTTGACCTCTTTTAATTAGAATGTTATGTCTGTGTTATTATTCTCCAGTGGTTGCAGCTGCATCTAAAGAAGAAAACAAGGAAGAACCAGCAGAGAGTGACCAACCTGTGGCTCCCAGTTCAAAGTCAACCATGAACCTGGCTGCCCTCAAAGCTGCTTTTTCAAACCAGAACAGTTCCCCCTGTGGGAGTAAGGCGGGGACTGAAAAAGCGTCTGGTAGTGGGCTGAGCCAGAGGACGCTGCAGTCTTTCTTTAAAGATCCTGTTAAATCTGCCAGCACCACCCTGTGTATGAAGTCACCTTTACAGCCCAGAACAGATGCAGCTAAACGCAGCACAGGGGGGAGGTCTGTGCTCGATGCGTTTAGGTATGGAGGGACATGGAACCAGGATAAACCGGATAATGAGGGAGACCAGGCTGAGCCCACTGGTGACAGTGCAGAACAGTCTCCATGTACAGAGTACTCCGAAGTCACTGGACCGGTTGTTGAAAGTGTAGAAAATGACTCGTCAGTCAGCCAAAACGAAGCTGAGGACCTGGATCTACAAACTAAAGCAGGTTCAGCTACGGAGGACTCCATGATTAGCCCGGAAGCTAAAAAGCCCAGAACAGATTCTCCACTTCTCAAGGTGGAACAAAGTTCTGAAAACCTTTCAGATACACCTCCTTCTACAGTGGACGTCCCTGTCTCTCTGCAGAGGAAGGCGGTGCCTTTGCGTTTCTCACTGCAAGACCTGACGGCTAGCATGAAGAGGCTGCAGGAACAGCAGAGACAGAGAGCTGGAGAGAAGCTGCACTACAGGCGCTTCAGGGCCAAGATCAACCCTGGAGAAAACCAAAGCGCAGAGGATGAACTCCGCAGAGAGATTAGGTAAAATATTCCAGATTACAGCCTCAAAGAGTTCTTTAGTAAACACTGATGAACAAATGGCTTCAAACAAGGAACACAGCAGGCAGGTCAGCGAGAAAGTTAAACCAATCAGCTGGATAGACCAAAACAGCATTCATGGTCGTCTTATACTGCTTACTGCACATTTGTTGCAATCCTATTTTGTCTGTTTGGCGCCCTCCCCATGTTTAAGCTGTGTCACTGCATCTGATCATTTACTGTCGCATTGCCCAGTATTGGGAATAAACCCAGAGAAACTGGCATCAGCAGCCCCGGGCCTCTGTAGGACGCTGAAGTGAGTCTAGATTAGGGATGGAAAATGTATTGCATTTATAATATAATCGCAATTTAACAAAACACATTTCTCCCTCCAGCCCTTTAAGTGGTGGTTAAATGCTTGAAGTGAGTTAGTTGCCATCAGAGATGGCAAAAGTACTCACTTTCCGTACTTGAGTAAAAGTACAGATACTTGTGTTAAAAAATACTCTGGTAAAAGTGGAAGTACTGATTAAACTTCTTTACTCAAGTAAAAGTAACAAAGTACAGGCTTGTAAATTTACTTAAAGTATAAAAGTAAAAGTAGAAACCACTTTTTTCATGCCGTTGCCTACATTTTAAATGGATGTCTGCCAATAGGACTAGATCTCCGTTGTGTTCATTTTCAATCATCTCGTCGTCCATGCTACTATGCTAACGCCACCGCCACCAAGCTGCTATGATTTGCCGCCAATGAATACCGCCGAATCTGTCGATTCATCTTGTAGTGGTGCGTCAAATGCAACGTAGATTCCCATCCAATTAGATTGAATTTGGTATTGATGACGTGAAAAATAATAACGGTAACTCCATTGAAATGATTCAAAACTAAAGTAACGAGACAATTTTTTTAAATGTAAGGAGTAGAAAGTACAGATATTTGTGTAAAAATGTAAGGAGTAGAAGTAAAAAGTCGCCATAAAAATAAGTAGTAAAGTAAAGTAAAAATATCAGAAAAATCTACTTGAGTAGAGTAATGAAGTATTTGTACTTCGTTACTTCCCATCTCTGGTTGCCATACAGAAATGTAGACAGAGTAGCAGCTAGCTCGCAGATCCATGCAAGTAGAAGAAAACACTTTTTTCACATAATGGTTACAATAAGTCTGTGTAGCAATGGACTCTGGGCAAGCAAGCTTTCAAAAACCGAAAGCCTTGGATGAAACATCTACAATCTCTGGGTTATTGCAAAGGAAAATTGAAACAAAATGGCATTGCAATTTGGGTTAAAAAAAATTGCAATTTAGATTTTTGGCGAAATTGTTCTAGTCTAGATATTTACCTCAGTATTAACAGTTAACATAAAACCTAGCATCTAAAACACCAACAGAAACCATTCCCACTCTATGGTCTGATTCCCCTGGAATCTCTGGAGCAGGCCACTCTAAGCCGCCGGCCTCCACCACAGAAACTTAACCCCCCCCTCATTTCCTCCAGAAGACAAACCCTCCTCCATGTTTGTGGAGCCTAGCAACCCAACGTAAGCCTAGTGACCCTTTATTATCCTTTGGGTTAAATGAAACAGATTGGCCTAGTCAAAGCCCAGAGATCAATCCTAGCATGCAGCTTGAAAGTAGTAAAAGTTTCTTTCTTCTTCTTCCAGTAAGGAAATGTTTAAAGAAATGGAGATCATCGGTCAGTTTAACCTGGGTTTCATCATCACCAAGCTGAACTCGGACATCTTTATGATCGATCAGCACGCCAGCGATGAGAAATACAACTTTGAGATGCTGCAGCAGCACACTGTGCTTCAGGGGCAGAAACTTATCGTGTAAGTGGATGAAATGCTGCACTGCTATGCACTGATGTGACCAGAGTCTCACCGGCAAATTTCATGAACCCTTAAAGCCCACAGAAACTTCACCTCACTGCAGTCAGCGAGAACGTGCTCATAGAGAACCTGGAGATCTTCCAGAAGAACGGCTTTGAATTTCAGATCGATGAGGATGGTAGGACGGCTCAATCATCAGGCTGGAATCAGTGTTTGCTCCTGTTCTCACTGAAACTTTACCTCAGCTCAGGTGATGGAGAGGGTGAAGCTGGTCTCTTTGCCCACCAGTAAAAACTGGACCTTCGGCCCGGCAGACATTGAAGAGCTGATCTTCATGTTGACTGACAGCCCAGGCGTCATGTGCCGCCCATCCAGAGTCAGGCAGATGTTTGCCTCTCGAGCGTGCAGGAAATCAGTTGAGTTCAGCTCACTTTCAACACACAGATCTTTCTCTCCATCATTCCTGCTTTAATAAAAGCCAATAAACCCAAAATTAATTGATGTTTTCTTAGTAATGTTGAGAGATATTTTTTTCTCAACATTACTTAGCAATGTTTAAAAAAACAAACCACTGGACTTTGTTTCCAAGCTTGAAGACGTTTCGCTTCCAAAAGGTGTAAATGTACCACCGATGGACAAAGAACATTCTTCTAAAGACCTGAATGTTCACATTTTAGACAAAGAAGACAGGTGGTTTGAGAGTTAAGTAAAACCAACCTTAAACAGAGCTGGTTTCTTTAAAAAATCTACAATGCAGCGATGGAGTTGAATTCTTTCCGCTACCATCTCAATCCCCATGCCTATACAGCAGAATAGAACATCTAGCCTGTTCAGCCAGGCCAAGAATTCCCCCTAAAGACCCCACTTTCAAAGGGATAGACCAGTATTTGGTATGGCAGGCTAACAAAGAAGCCAAACACCTGCCCATTCTTAAAGGAATAGTACACCCAAAACATGATTAGCCTTCATTTTCTACTCACCCCCATGCTGAACAACACTCTGGAGTACTTTTTTGATATCTCAAATGCATCTGGAGATCTGGGAGGCTTCTTGCTGTCTGCTGACATTCAAATAATGGAGGTCTATGGCGCCCGAGGCAGAAAGGTCCATAAAAGTCCACAAGAAACGTGTCAATATTCCTCCATACTGCTCGTCCAATGTATTCCAAGTGTCCTGAGTGGGTAGCATCCATAATTTACTGGAAACAAAGTCATTTAGAATGTTTTTAGAGCATAAACAGTAGTGTATAGGATTTCCTAAAAGTGCGCGCCTGCGAGTTCACGACGCTACGGAAACCGCGGCAGACCAAACCAGATGAAAGTGCGCATTCAGCTCAGCAAAAAACTCATGCTCTTCCTCAACACTGAAGTCCTCAGACATTTTTCTTTTGTTGTTTCTTTCTTTGCACAGGTAAACAGCACATTTCTTCTTCTACGCTTGCATTATCGGCAGAGCAGACGCTGAATGCGCACTTTCATCTGGTTTGGTCTGCCGCGGTTTCCGTAGCGTCGTGAACTCGCTTTTAGGAAATCCTATACACTGCTGTTTATGCTCTAAAAACATTCTAAATGACTTCGTTTCGAGTAAATTCTGGATGCTACCCACTCAGGACACTTGGAATACATTGGACGAGCAGTATGGAGGAATATTGACACGTTTTTTGTGGACTTTTATGGACCTTTCTGCCTCGGGCACCATAGACCTCCATTATTTGAATGTCAGCAGACAGCAAGAAGCCTCCCAGATCTCCAGATGCATTTGAGATATCAAAAAAGTACTCCAGAGTGTTGTTCAGCATGGGGGTGAGTAGAAAATGAAGGCTAATCATGTTTTGGGTGTACTATTCCTTTAAGGGGTGGCCCCGTTCTTCCGGTTCAGTTTGCATGTTTTCTACGCCAAAAAGCAGGCTTTGTTTTTGTTCCACTCTACAAAGCCTGGAACTCAACGCTATATCTGACATTTTGAATTAAAAAAAAGCTTCCTGGATGGGAAGCGAAACGTCTTTAAACTTTGAAATAAACTCCAGTGGATTGTTTGTTTTTTAACGTTTTTGGAATGACTATGACCTGGATGACAGAATCTTCAGCAGCGTACCTCTGGTTGTAATTACCTTCAGGTGATGATCGGGACGGCTCTAAGCGTCGGGGAGATGAAGAAGCTCGTGCTTCACATGGGGGAGATCAAGCATCCGTGGAACTGTCCTCACGGCAGGCCCACCATGCGACACCTCGCCAACCTGGAAATGATCTCACAGGACTGACCCCATGCATCAACACTTACTCTCTGTAAGTCGGTTCAGTCATGGAAACCCTTAGAACATCTAGACTGGTTCAGAGTCACTGGTTGGATACTGTTTGATATATTTTTTTGTTCTTTTAAATAGAAGATCTGTGTTTTTATTTGTTATTTCCAATAAATCATTTTACATGTCAAAAAAGGATTCCTGTTTCTGTTGAACTGAGATGAGAGGTATGAACATATTGTTAGGAAGGCATGTTTATACCAAAGCAGAAGGACAAAAGGAACAATCTGAGATTGTTTGGCTGATATGGCAGTCATCCTACAGAGGAGGTTTCATTCACAGTTTAAAAACATTCAAGATTTATCATATTTGAGTGAAGCAAACAGAGTCAGAGAATGCATGCCCTGGTTAGCAGAGGTAACAAAGTACAAATATGTGTTACCCAAAATCTCTACTTAAGTAAGGTATCTGTACTTTACTGGAGTTATTATTTTAGACAAACTTGTTATATTTCTTTGCAATTATCTTAACTTTCCATCCCTTACATTTGAAAATAGATGCGTTAGTTTTGTTTTAATTTAAGCTAATTTAAGTTACAGCATTTAAAGAAAATAAAAATCATCAAAATAATGTAATTGTGGTTGGCCTAAGTACTGCACCAACTTGTTGTTCACCACATAACAAAATAAATAGTTTTTCAAAGTTAAATTTGAGACTGTTACCATTATTATAAAGCTAAGAAAATTTAGTATAAAGAAGTTATCATCCAGCATTGTAGAAACATTTTCCTTTAACAGGGTGGTGCAGTAAAGCATTTTTTTCTGCATTATTTTTACTTTTATACTTTAAGCAGTTTTAATACTGGTACTTTTACTTGAGTAAAAAGCTTCCTACTCTTAACTTCTACAAATAGTTTTTGAACAGTAGGATTTATACTTCTACTTGAGTGATAAACATGAATACTTTTGACACCTGTAGGTTAGCATGCTGTGACTACTATGAAGCTTAAAGTAGTAGCCATTCAAAATTTCCCCACTTTCCTTGGCTGGTTCCCTTCCATTTCTTTCTAAACATAAATATCTGTGCTAAAATATTCTTTCTGTCATAATTTGTGAACATTAAGATCTAAAGAGAAGCGTCATCTCCTGGTCAGACCCTGTAATCCAGTGAAAGTGAGGACTCAGGGTAAAAAAACATGCAACTCCAGTGGTTGGAAGTTGGAGGGAAGTGAGTTGGCAATTGGCTGGTGTTAAACTGGGAAGGGCCATTTTGAATGCCTGCTACTGTGAGTTTGAACATGTATGGTGGCCTTAATATTCTGTGCACCTGGGAGAATAAAGTCAATGCGTTTAATGAAAATAAAGCAAATCAGTTCAGACACTAAAGCGTGTGTTAAGCTCAGAGATGGGAAGTAACAAAGTACAAATACTTCGTTACTGTACTCAAGTAGATTTTTCTGATATTTTTACTTTACTTTACTACTTATTTTTATGGCGACTTTTTACTTCTACTCCTTACATTTTTACACAAATATCTGTACTTTCTACTCCTTACATTTTAAAAAATTGGCTCGTTACTTTAGTTTTGAATCATTTCAATGGAGTTACCATTATTATTTTTCACGTGATCAATACCAAATTCAATCTAATTGGATGGGAATCTACGTTGCATTTGATGCACCACTACAAGATGAATCGACAGATTCGGCGGTATTCATTTGCGGCAAATCATAGCAGCTTGGTGGCGGTGGCGTTAGCATAGTAGCATGGACGACGAGATGATTGAAAATGAATGCAACGGAGATCTAGTCCTATTGGCAGACATCCATTTAAAATGTAGGCAACGGCAGGAAAAAAGTGGTTTCTACTTTTACTTTTATTATTTAAGTACATTTACAAGCCTGTACTTTGTTACTTTTACTTGAGTAAAGAAGTTTAATCAGTAGTTCCACTTTTACCAGAGTATTTTTTAACGCAAGTATCTGTACTTTTACTCAAGTACAGAAAGTGAGTACTTTTGCCATCTCTGGTTAAGCTCAGAGGTAGAAGGGTGAGGATTTGGAGGAGCAGGCAGACAAAGAAGGGACCACGGACATTTTCATGTTCTGGATTAAAATGTGAAGCAATCTAACTAAGCTCTATAAAAATAACAGAGTAATGCTAATTTCACTACAGGTTGAGACTGTAAACTGCTGCTTTATTCTAGTCAGTGATCTAAAAGCATTTAGATGTTCCAGATCTCCCTGCTCTCTGTGAGGTTAATGTTCAACGGCCTGGCAAAAACGGAATAATTTCAATAAGTTTGACTGGGTGGAAGGTGGGAATAAGAAACAATGATGCCTGTAGTGACACTTTAGCAGTAAAGCGATGCTACGAGGGGTGTTCAATAAGTACTGCCCCTAACCCACTTCCGGTTGTTTGATCTAGCTGAAATCTTGCATGTGCAATTATTTCCATCTCTTTAGATTAAGTGGCAAATGACAGCTCTGAAATAACTGTGGTTTCTGGTTTGCAGGTGTTTGAACTGAGTGAAGTCTGAGTTTTTGTATTTGAAAGGACAAAGACCACAGTAGACTTTATAAAATGAAAGCAAATTATGATGATGACCTTTATAAAACATTTTGCAAGGTTATGATGGGGCATCATCCGCATAAGTGGAGCTTTCCTCTCCAATGTGTCTATATTCATGTTTGGTATGAGGAATTGCTGCAAAGTCAACAACACAATGCATTAGGTGTCCATGTTGCAACATGCTTATCCAGGAAAAGTAATTTCTGCAAAGTCAATGACTCGATGTGATCTCAAAAAAAAAGTTAACCCGATATGTCTGTATGATTGGATTCAATCGAGTGTAATATGCCTTGGGATTATAGGTGTTGTGAATTGGTGGTCTAAAAATAAACTGGAAAAAATGAAACACAGCAGAAATTCTGCAGAGGGTTGATTTCCCAAGTAGTAATGGCATAGATCATCTCACTCTAGAACAGTTTAAAATCACAGTGCAAATAATTCACGCCCTGGTTAATACACTGAGGAAAATGTGCCGAGTCAGAATTTAATTTTACATAACAGTTATTTTAACCTCCACAATATTTAACTTAGTGGCAGTTTCGTGTTCATTTCATCCAACAGCGAATACAATGAGGAAAATAAGTATTTGAACACCCTGCATTTTGCAAATTCTCCCACTTAGAAATCATGGAGGGGTCTGAAACTGTCATCATAGGTGCATGTAGACTGTTAGAGAAATAATTTGAAAAACAAAAAATCTAGAAATCACAATACAGCTGCAAATAAGTATATGAATCAATGTTAATATTTGGTACAGTAGCTTTTGTTTGCAATTACAAAGGTCAAACGTTTCCTGCAGTTTTTCGCCAGGTTTGCACACACTGCAGGAGGGATTTTGGCCCATTCCTTCACACAGATCTTATCCAGATCAGTCAGGTTTATGGGCTGTCACTGAGAAACACAGAATTTGAGCTCCCTCCAAAACATTCTCTATTTGGTTTAGGTCTGGAGACTGGCTAGGCCATGCCAGAATCTTGATATGCTTCTTTCAGAGCCACTCCTTCAGGTCATTGTGATGCTGGAAGACTCAGCCTCGACCCATCTTCATTGCTCTAACGGAGGGAAGGAGGTTGTTCCCCAATATCTTGTAATACATGGTCATCCTCTCCTTATACAGTGCAGTCGCCCTGTCTCTTCAGCAGCTCAGAATACAATTTAAAATCCTTCTGAATACTTTCAAAGCCATGCATAACCTTGCTCCTCCATATCTATCAGACCTCCTTCCCATTGCCACCTCCTCCATCCACCTCACTGTACCCCGGGCTCGACTTGTCACCATGGAAGCAGAGCCTTCAGCCGCCCTGCTCCCCAGCTCTGGAACTCACTGTCACCTGACCTCTGCAGAATTGACCCCCCCCAAAACCACACTCAAACCCCACCAGCTTGCGTATTTGTAAATACACTGTTCTTGTCCATCTCCATTTTTATTGTTTGTAAAGTGACCTTGAGTGTCTAGAAAGGCGCTGTTAAATAAAATGTTTTATTATTATTATGAAAAATACCCCCAAGGCATGACACTACCACCCCCATGCTTCACAGTAGGGAGGTGTTCTTAGGATGATGCTCATCATTCTTCTTCCTCCAAACCCCAAACCCAGTAGTGAGTAGGGCGAGTGGACCGTTCAGCCCTTAAATAGAGAGTCTGCGTAAAGTGCAGAATTGCTGAAACGTGGCAGCAGGTGTAACAGTGGTTTAATGGTTGGAGTAAACGTGGGCATTTAAATGGGAATTCTACCGGTTTGATACATCTTCATCACAAGTTAGGTATAAGCAGGGGCGGACTGGGACAAAAAATCTGTCCTGGCATTTTGGGCTACACTGGCCCACCACATTTTTTTTGGTGTACTGAATGTGTATGCCAACTGTTCAATACATTGAGGCCAGGTTAATGGAAATTAGTGAGAGTGGACACTTAAAATACTTCCAAAATCTTAGTTTGTTAACACTGTAAAATGTGAACTCCAGCACAGCACAGGAACAATTCTGAGATCAGAGAGAGAGAGAGAGAGAAAAAAGTCACAGTCAATCACACATATTACCACGTTATATCTTCATAAGAAGTTATTGTAAGTTTCTCCTCAGATCTATTCAGTCTTCCAGATACTGTAGGGTAACATTGGACTACTGAGCACTCATTGTGTTAAAAAGGATGTCAATGACAAAATGATGAACCATTAGAAATCCTGTCAAAGAGGATGCACTCAGTGTAGGCTACAAAAAATCATCATTAGCCACCAGTGCTAGCATGAAGTTTATGGGTAGCAGCACCTGTGTTTACTAAACTAACTTTACCATGAAACATTAACCAACATATTTTTATTGGGGTTATGTAATTTTTATCATAATCATCAAGGGTTCCAAAAACTCAATTTAGAGAGCTGCTTATACCCCAACCCCCCCGCCCCCAGGGTCAACGGATCCACACCATGCCCCATACACACACACTTAAGGCCAGCAGCTTTTCA